TACACTTCACATTCATTTCCCGGGTCATCATGCTCAGGCTGTGAGCGTGATGTAATAACATAAAATGATGAATCACAGCGGTCTCCCAAGAGTTTCTGGGCATGATGGTGCAATCAATTTCCAACAAATATATTAGCAGCAAAGTGTGTGTGTCGTTTGCCGAGAATATTCCCGTAAACCCTTTGTTTGAAATATGGTGGCATGGTTCAACTGTATAAAGCCCTGAATCCACTGCCTTCTTGCAAGACTTTGCTGCAAGGTACAGCTTGTAAGACTATGTGAGCTATTCTAACATATTTTCTGTCAACACTGTGGATTGCTCTCTACATTTCCATTTTTCTTTTTAGCCTAATTTGTTTTTACCCAAACTTCAAAGACATCTGAACAGGCAAAAATATACAAGGCATAAATAAACTGGGTTTAAATTCCACTGGTGTTTGAACATTTTTGTTGACAACATGCCACTAAACGCACCGAAGCTACAAATTAGATAGTGACAATTGTCACCGTTTGAATAAGCTTTGGTCCAAGATTGTTTATAGACGACTACATTTTCGCGTGACAAGCATTTCATTCTCTCAAACGACCTTGATTCCCGGGGGAAAGCTGAAAGAGGGGATTCTGCTGTAATTAGGCTCGCTGGTTGACTAAGAAAAAGCACCCAAGGTAGAGGGTGAGATAAAAGACTGTGAGTGAAGGAGAGGATGAAGGTGGGGAGGATGTAAGTAGGAGGATGAGGAGGGGAGGAGATAATGAGAGGCAGGGTGACAGAATGAAAGAGTGCAGGAGGAAGAGAGCATGTCAAGGATCAAGGGGGGATGTTTGCCTGCAGCTCCCTCGTGGTGTGATGTTGTCGAATGTTCGCACCATGTTTTATGACAAAGGCCTCTGTGTTAGCTCAACAACTCACTTATGTTGTCTTTGGCATCCCATCCTGTCTTGCTGTGCATGTTGCATACAGCAGCTAAGTTAATCTACAAGTAACCTAGGAGAGGGCAGAAACTGACTGAGAGAAAGGGAGAAATCGGGATTTAAAAAAATATATATATGTATTATTTTTTAACAGTTTTAAGTAATTAATATCATCATAGGTGTTATGTGTTGTTGGGGCTCTAGAGAAGGTACATTGGTTGTCCACCAAACAGACTGTATGTGGTTTGATCTCCGGCTGTTCTGGTTAGCTTGTCAAAGTGTCCCTGGGCAAGATACTGAACCCCAATTTCTACTGAAGGCATGTGAATGTTTATCTGTCCTGATGCGCAGGTGGCCCTGTGTATGGTAGCCTTTGCCTCTTTATAAATCTGGGTTAATGATGACATGTGTTAACCACCAACAATTGTCAAATGCAGTTTATTTGCCACCACTGTTTGCCAGATCACTCCCATTAGTCATTTTCTCTCATATTCCAAATCCCAGCCTGCCAGGCTTTGCTCATAGCAGACGGAAAGGTGCAGAACACATTTATCCTGGCTCTTATACAGCAATGTATCAAGATTTACACAGAATGAAAATCATTTCATTTGCCATTTGTGCTTTTGCAGTCAATTGGTTCGTTGTTCTTCCATTCATTAGTGTTGCCACCTAAGAGTGTGTGGGTGTGTACTGTATTTGATGTTCAGTGTGTATCAGTGGGTCACCCAGCTGTGGTGTTATGTATGAGTCAGGGTAGAATGTGTGGAATCAGCTTCCAGTTTGTGTTCGGGCGGCAGACACCCTATCCGTTTTTAAGAGTGCGCTTAAGACCTTCCTTTTTGATAAAGCTTATAGTTAGGGCTGATTAGATTCAGCCCCTAGTTTTGCTGATATAGGCTTAGTTTGTCGGGGGACATCTTACTTCTTCCTTCTCTCTGTCTATACCTGTGTATTCTCATGTTCCGATTAACCCAGCTTCCCCAAATGTCTTTCTTTTTGGTGTCTATATACGCCGGGATCCGGAGTCATGGATGATCCTGCGGTCCTGTGTCCTGGATCTGCCCTGGATCTTGAATCCTGGCTGTGGTCCTGGATCATAGGTCCTGGATGGATATCCTCGTGGATTCATCTTCCTATTATACACACATGCATTTCCAAACATTTGGACTACCTATGTTGCAAATGTATTATCTTTTCAATTTACACACGGCATCTATTGCACGTCTGTCCGTCCTGGGAGAGGGATCCCTCCTCTGTTGCTCTCCCTGAGGTTTCTCCCATGTTTCCCTTTAAACTGTGGGTTTTCTCCGGAAGTTTTTCCTTGTACGATGTGAGGGTCTAAGGACAGAGGGTGTCGTATTGTCATACTGATATTTTGTACAAACTGTAAAGTCCACTGAGACAAATGTAACATTTGTGATATTGGGCTATATAAATAAACATTGATTGATTGATTGATTGAATGTGAGGTTACTGAAGCAGATCATTGTGAGGTTCAGCTGAGGACATGAAGTCATCAGAGGCATCCAGATCAGCTAATAGCTACACACACATTCACACAATAGGGTTGTCTGTTTAATTGCTGTTGTTGCCAATGACTGATTGTACCTGTATGTAATTATTATTTAATTAAAGCCTATTATTTCTCAATGACCTCAAGGCTTCCACTCAATGTGAACTGTTTTTATATGCAGATGACTCTGCAATGCTGGTTTCCATAATGATACAACCTTAAAGTATGCGGAGTGTATTACTTTTTAATGTATGCAGGTGGATGACAGATAACAAACTGTCACTCCCCCATAAAATGGAATACATTATTTGTGGGTCAATGGTAAAATTAGGCGCTTTCACACTGCGGTACTTTTCCCACAAAGGTTCATGTGAACTTAGTTCATGAGAACTCTTTAGTTCTCATGTACAGATCGCGTTCACACTGGAAAAAGTCCCTGGGGGTGGATTAGGCAAATGAAGCCGCTGACATCACTTGTTCTTCTTCTGCTTTGGGTTTACTGGCAGGCCGCAAACCATTTCACGGCGTATACTGCCGCCCAAAGTCCCCGGCCGGAAGTCCCCGGAGTTAGGGACTGGCTTCAGTAGAAGCTGCTGGGACTCCCAGCAGCTTCTACTGAAGCCTTCCGAGTAAATCGCCAGAACGCCGACACCTCCTCATCTCCACCACTCCCATGTTTTATTTTGTGTTGCCATAAGTTAGTCTCTCTGCGTTTCTGCGCTGGGTTAATGCTAATGCTAATAATGCTAATGCGAGGATAATAAAATGGCGGCTTCACAAAACTTTTTGGGAGTTTTACGGGGCGTGGTTTGCAATCCGCCCAGCCAATCAGAAATGTAGCTCTTTTCTCACAAAAGAGCCGTTCGAAAGTCCCTGCTCTCTAGCAGCTCTCTGCTCTCTAGCAGGGACTTTCGAGGGGGTAAAAAGGTTCACATGAACTAATTTTAGTACCGGCTCTTTTTGGTGTGAACGCGATAAAAGAGTTCACATGAACTAAGTTCACATGAACCTTTGTGGGAAAAGTACCGCAGTGTGAAAGCGCCTATTGAAGAGATCATAAGCCATATGTCAGGAGTGGGTCAGGCTGTCAAGCTGCTCACAAAAGTCGATCACAGAATACATTTCTCAGGCAAAGTTTCAACATTTCTGGATATAAAAGCAATTGTGGCGCTGGCAGTTTTCTATCCAGCCTTATTTTGACTATGCCTGCTGTTTATTGAACCATGAGTTTACTTCACACTTTCACAAACATGTCTAAATAAGGCAATTAGGGTTATTATTATGTATGAGCTGTGTGTGGTTGTAAGTAAAGAAAACAGCTTCTCAGATTGAGTTGTGCATCGTTCATAGGTGCCAAGTGCTAGGACTGTTTTAGGGAAGAAAGCTTTTAGTTGTGCAGCTCCACTAACTTGGAACAGTCTGCAAACATGTTTAAAACTGAGCACTTTGGTTCCCCTGCATCATTTTAAAACTCGGCTGGGTGACATGCTGTTTGATACTCATGGTACCTGTCACTGTAAATAGAGTTTGTAAACTGTACCCTGTACATTATGTTGTATGTCATCCTTATTGTTGTTCTGTTGTTTTTATGTTACATGTGTAACTAATGTGCTGCAGGTCACCCTTGAAAAAGAGATCTTTTGATCTCAAGGGGCTTTCACCTGGTTAAATAAAGGCTACAAACAATACGATATGCATGGGCCTGCCCCTCAATGGCTAAAAACATATGAAATACAAATGCTTTTCTTAGCCGCTCCATCAGGGTTTTTCTACTCGATTTGATGCTCCCATAGGTCTAACTGTGAATTATAACTTTTCTGTACATGACAGTGAATCCGTGGTACACCCCCGAAGGGACCCCAACAAGCCTTAAGGTCATTTCCTGTTCTGCACCTGCTCTGCTGAGCCGGTGTTCATTTTAAAAATATGGTTTTCTATTAAATCAATAAATTAATCTGCAAGTCAATAGCCAGAAATTGAAACAGTACCACCGCTGCCGACACCTTCACCCTCTACTCGATGTAGAAATGATTGCTGTAAATAGCTTTCTGTAACTGCTCTTGCTGCTCCTAACTGCCTTCTGTTGCTAACTGTTATAGCTGTTCAAAGGTTGTTGTTAACTGATTTCTGTCGCTAACGTCCATTAGTGTTGCAAACTTGTTCTACCAGGCCGGCTGCAAACACGGTGGTCTTACTATATCAAACGACCTCATTACTCTATACCAGGATTTCAATATACTATTTTACATATGTGTAGAAGATAACACTGAACAATGAATTGAATACGGATGGAAATGATACCATTGTTTGTAATTGTATTACCTTTGTGTATCATTGTTACTTCTCTTAATACTTAGCCAGAGGAATGATTATTTATTATGGTTTATATGAGGCTCCTTATGTATTTATGATAGGGTTGGGAGAAGCATTACAAATAATGACACCAATGACACGCATCACTATGCAGCAGTAAAGTTGGTGCCTGAGCTGACTGTTAATTAAACTCATACCTGTCCTCTTCCTGCAGCTTCCTCCCTTCACCTCTCTCTGTCTTTCTCCCCCTTTTGTCTCACAGAGACAGTGATGGATACAAGGACGGCCACAGCAGAGCTTGGCTGGATCTCGTTCCCTGCCAATGGGGTAAGAACAACGTGCAGAGGTGTACTGGGTCTGTTTGTGTGTGTGTGTTTGAGGTATATGCATGCATTTGTATAGGTGTTAGGGCTGCTCGATTATGGCAAAAATCCTAATCACGATTATTGTTGGTCAATATTGATATCACGAACGATTATTAAATATGATTGTTCATTGACTTTGAAAACATCCATTTATTGAACTTAAAAAAATTAATAAATAATTTAAACAGTATGTTTTTAACAGTTGATTACCCTGAACTTTAAGTATAGTTCAACTGAAAAACCAATACAAATAAGTAAAATGTATACATTGATATCTACATTTAAATAAATAATATCAAAATAATAAATACCAATAAATAAAGAGATTAAAATATGATTAATTGCACAGCCCTAATAGGTGTATGCAAGTGTGTGCACCGTTGGAGAAAACAGTTTGAGTACACCTTGCGGCGCTCCATTATGGACTCCGTCACAATCTTAATTACAGTCACAAGGTGACACCAATACATCGCTATTGATGCAGAGTTGAATGGATTCCAGAGAATCACGGAGGTGTACATTAAAAGGGTCGACAGATTAATAAAACAGAGTAAAATAAAAAAGAATATAGAATTAAAGAGGATATGTTCTTTAACTGGCTTTCTTCTTTCTTTCTTTTTATAAATGCTGGCTTGGCTGCTAGCCGGTAACAATGGTCTGCTGCCTGTGGGTGTATGTGTGTTAGAGGTGAGCAGCTCTAATTGTGATGAATGATTGTCCCTCTTCAAAAAAGGTGAGAGGAGAGAAAAAAAGTATAGTAGGGAGGGAAGTGGAGAGGTACAAAAAGAGAGCGAGAGACAAAATGGGGAGGAGGGAAAGAGAAAGTTTAATTTGTGTCAGGTCTTGGTAAACCCATTCATCATTTTGGCCTCTCCTCTCCCCTATTCCCCTACTTCCTCCCCTCTCATCCCTCCTCTGTTCCCCTTCCTCACACACACACACACACACACACACACACACACACACACACACACACACACACACACACACACACACACACACACACACACACACACACACACACACACACCAGTGGGAGGAGGTGAGCGGCTATGATGAGAACCTCAACACCATCAGGACGTACCAGGTGTGCAACGTGTTTGAGCCGAGCCAGAACAACTGGCTTCTCACGACTTACATCGACCGGCGGGCGGCGCAGCGCATCTACGTGGAGATCCGCTTCACCGTCCGCGACTGTGCCTCCATCCCCAGCGTCCTGGGCTCCTGCAAGGAGACCTTCAACCTGTACTACCTGGAGACTGAGAGGGCCGTGTCAGAGGGCATCAAAGGGATGGAGTACTGGGCCAATGCCCCTTTCCTTAAGGTATAGCAAAGTATGAAGAGCTGCTGGCTTTGGAAGTATTTGCCACACTAAAAATGTGCCTTTCAAAATAACATTTCAATGATACTCAATGTCACTGAACACACCCAAGATGCTGATTCTGTTTAACTATGTTATGGTCATCGTTTGAATTCATTTCAAATGTTCTCATGTCTTTTCTCACGTTTATAGTGGTAAATGCGGGAAAACTAAAACGGGCAGTATACTGGATTAAAAAAAAAACTATTTGATTATCCGAAAAATGCTAATTCACAAAGCTGTTTTTGTTTTATTAGTCCATGAAAAGTAGTCAGTTGACAATGTGCAATCCAGAAGAAAACACTTCACTATTCCCAAATTGATTAAGAATCCACAAGGTTAATTGATCAAAGTCTAGAAAGATCTAACTGCATGTGTTTGTGTTTTTCCCAGTGTTGTAAATCTCCTCGCAGCCTTCTCTGGGCTATTGTCAAGGTTCACTACATAAATAAAGAGCAAATCATTACTAAACTCTAAGAAAAATGTGGTTATTCTGTATTATACAGAAAATACCAAACATTACTTATCTAAATATTTCAAATATAATTGTATCTAAAGTAATAACAAAAGATCAGGGACAGTAACACCCTTTTTAACTCCCCTTGCTTTCTTCTGGCTTTGCTAACCTTCCCTCTCTCTGTATGTCAATGTAAGGTGGACACCATCGCAGCAGATGAGAGTTTCTCCCAGGTTGATTTTGGGGGAAGACTAATGAAGGTGAACACAGAAGTTAGGAGTTTCGGACCGTTGTCCAAAGGCAAAGGTTTCCACTTGGCCTTCCAGGATCTTGGAGCCTGCATGTCCCTCCTGGCTGTCAGAGTGTTCTACAAGAAATGTCCCAGCGTGGTTCAGAACTTCGCTTTTTTCCCAGAGGTACGGACCAGAAACTGAAAACTGTGTGCTATTATCATCAGAATGTGGTGTAGTTGCTGGTGTATACAGACATTCAAGTAGACATTTCTTATGATTTTCTATACAGACCCTGACTGGAGCAGAGTCCACCTCATTAGTCATCGCTAGAGGAAGTTGTATTCCCAATGCTGAGGAAGTCGACGTGCCCATAAAGCTCTACTGTAACGGAGATGGGGAGTGGATGGTGCCCATCGGCAGCTGCAGCTGTAAGGCGGGGTTTGAACCGGACAATGGCAACGTTTGCAGAGGTAAATCTGTGCATGAATGCTATGTATGCAAAATTATTTATATTTGTATTTCTTTAAACCTGCTCTGATGACCTTGTCGCACTTGCGTTTCATATTGTAGTAAAGGCTAACTATTTATTTAATCATTTATTTGGCAGGGACATTGCACAGTAATGAACACTTAAAACATTCAAATGTAATGGGTGAGAGCGTGGATACATGTGGTGAAATGATAAGTGAATCCATTCCATCCCATGTTAATTAGTTTAGGGTGCAAGGCAGATTAGGCTGCCACAAATTATTCCTGAACTGCCAGAGAGGATCGAGGAGATGGAGGGGCATCAGGAAGGTAGGAAGGAATAAAGGAAGGAAGGGATGAAAATAAAGTAAAGCAGGAGAGCCCTCAGGAGAGTTGGTCTAGCAAGAAAGTAAAAAAAAGGACAAACCAAGGACAGAAAATAAAAAAACTGAGAGATACAAGTTATAGAGAAGATGGAAGCGACTGATGAATATAATTATTTCTCCAGTGAAACACAATAAATGTTAGATTTGCCTTTGGTGTCAGTGTCAATTTTCACAGTAATACTTTTTCTTCATGGAATATGTTAGTTGGTAAAAGCTAAGCCAGACACAATTCATGGTGAGACAGTGATTAAGGCTGACAATATTACAGTGATGATGACTGCACTGCGGAAATAATTACTGTGAAATGTGGAAGTATAAAGTCTTACGACTCCTTTGGTCTGAAAGATACTGATCTTATTATTGTTGCCCTTGAAAAACAAAACTCTTAATTACATATTGCAACACCTTTTATCACAATAACAATTTTCACATCATGTGATAAATTGATTATTTATGCCAATATAAATGAAAAGAAAGTGTTGTTTTTTACCAGTCCCTCTGTACCTACTGTACTTTCAGAAGTGCGCTGCTTGAACACTGCCATATGATTGATTAGAAACTGCATTATTTCTGTGTTGGAGCTGGGTTTTGTCGTCAAGCAATATATCTTAAAACATATATTAATATTTTAATATAGAGTTAAAATGTCATTAACAACAAAATGTCCATTGCGGTTAGTGTTTCGATAAGGTTTAAATTGCTCAGCTGTACTAAAAAGTCTAACTGACTGATTTGTCGTGAATTGACAGTTTCTGTAGGCATGTACCTTCCACATGAGTTTTTTTCAAGACTTTTGTTCTTAAACTGTGATTTAAGATGTTGCGGGCCAGAGCCTCTGTCAACTGTCTTCACCGAGCTGGCATCTTTTTGGTGTGCACTTCTGCCCATTAGTTGATAACAACTTGGCAGGAAACTGGACTCACTATTAGAACAGATGGTTGTGTTTTGCATATTTGTGTGTGTGCATGTGTGTGTGTTAGGCCACAAAGATTGTATTTATTTTGCACCAAACCAGCATATTTGCCATCCGGCAAAACTGGCCCAACATCAAAGCACTCAAAGTGTGTTTGTTTCTGTGCGTGTGTGTAGGGGGGGTAAAATGTTCAAATAGACCCTTACTTCAAATGCACCACACTACAAATATCAGCACTGCCATTGAATACACTCAAAGTACTCCTGCTGTGGCGCTGACACAGCTCTTAGAGTTGTTTGGTTGCTGTGTGACTCCACACAGCTGGCATTAAACAGAGAAACGGAGGGAATAATCTTTTCTGCCCTCTGAGGTGCATCAGTTCATCCTCAAAAGCATTTTCATTTTCGCCTTTCTCTCGACCCAAAATTTGCTATTAATATCTAACTGAATCACAGCAAATACATTTGTACAACCTCTGGCTCTGCAAAAAGAAAGCCAATGAGGAAGTGCCTTAAACTTGTATTCTCTTAAATATATACATAAATAATTTAAGTTAAGTCTGACTTTTATAGAAGTCTATGAGAAAATGACCCGACTACCCTAGGAAAAGCAAAGATTTCCTAAAGTTTATGATTTTAGCTTCACAATTCTAGCCCTTTCAATACGGTTCTCAGTTCATGAAAGTTCAGTGTAACAGTTTGTTGGCCTAATAATGTCTTGTTCAGTGCTCAGTTGAACTTTGCTCCTCCTTGTTGAATTACTTCTGGTTCCAAAAAAACACAAGATGCTGACGGCTTAAACCAAAACCATAGTCAATAAACCAATAGTGACGTCCACTTCTGATCATTGGTGTGCGTTTGAATTCAGTGACACAAAACAAATGCTACTCTGTGTTTGCGTGAAGATATGGAGAGAGCGGGAGAGAGAACTGGAGAGACGTGTTGCCATGGTGACACGCTCCACATGTATGAGCAAGGTTGTTGAATAAATGACCTTGACAAGCCAGATGTCTGTCTGCCTATTCAATACACACACACACACACACACACACACACACACACACACACACACACACACACACACACACACACACACACACACACACAAGGCACGTAATTGATGGATGACTTCAAAGAATGCCTCAATATAAAGAAACTAAAATACATGTAAAGTAACATGGACATATAGAGCAAAAGGAGAATTTGCATTTCTGATAAAAATGGAGATTGAGGTAAACATATACGAACTAGCTGAGTATTAGAATAGTGGAGAAGGAATAATGGATAAAACGTTTCCAGTAATATACATACTTTGCAACTAGTTTGAAAGCTTTAAACCTGCTTTCCGGAGGGGAGTACTGGTCATCCATTATTACATTGTCGCATTTGGTGTTGCCTTTCCAGACTCTAAACTGGGATGATGCATAGTCATGGTCGGCATCTTAACACCTTAATCTACTGTACAGGTTGGCTCAACTGCTCTTTACTCATAGAAACAGAAATAAATAATTTAATTGGCTAACAAACGATTGGCAAAGCACTGACCAATCATCAGTTGTGAGGGCGAACTTGAGTTAGCAAACAGTTGCTTTTACAGATCATTTATTTGGAGTCCTTGTTCTGGCCACTAAGAGTTGAAGTTCAATATTGACTCTTATTATTCTGTTTTTGGGCTGATGTTATTGTATATGAATTTTAGCTGCTTTGTCTGTTGTTTTTAGAATGTGTGCGCGAGCTTTCTCTGTCTGTCTTTACACAGCCAATCACCAGCTGAACTAGTCAGCCTCAAATTTAAACTAAATGTGCTCTCATTCTATGCATCTAGGTATGTACGTCTCTGAGAGTCGTGGGATGGATAAACTTAGGATACATATTATTTATAATTAAGAAGAACTGTCAAATCACAGTAAATTAAGAAGTGAGATAATGTTTTAACCTCTACTTTTTGACAACATGAACACAGCCTGGCCTCCAAGGGTTCTCAGTCAATCAGAGTTTATAAGGCAACAAGTATAGACAGTCGGGTCGGCTCAGCTCTGGCGGGAAATTCCTGGTTGACAAAAAAACAATCATCTAAATTTGTTCAATTCAACATTAAAGCAACTGCAAGCATCTGCACTCTACTGAGAGCAGATCTGTAGTTCTCAAAGTGATTAAATGGTTACACCACACTATCATTTGGGGCCAGCGATGTGTAAAGATGTTAATTTAATACAAGCTTGATCAAGTCCCGCTGTATGAGATGAAGTGTACTTCATACCTGAGATCCGAGTAGTTTCTTCAAGCTCTGTGGTTCATGCACAATGTAATCTGCAGTAAAACACAGAGGCAACGAAAAGCATCCTCCACCGTAGATCATGCTAGAACAAATGCATCAGCAAAAACCAAGAAATAACTACTGTATAACATTTCAGGAGAGTGAACACAATAGAGCAATACTGCAGAAATAGTGATACTGAGAGGGAGAAATAAAAACAGCAGTTTCATTCTCCTCTGATTCATTTATTTTGAGTGTTTGAGCATCAGCTTTTTTGTTTCCCCCATGTTTTCTCTTTGAACACAATCTGCCCAACCCTTTAAACCTTTAGCATTTAATTAAGTGAGACTCTGATGCTCTTAACTTGCTAGCACTTTGTCTCATTTACTTATTTCACTCAACCCATGCTATCATTTGGACTCCAGTCTAAATGGACTTAGCAGTAGCCTGCTTCTGCAACCCCTCCTCTGCCTTCCCCATAAATCTGTGTAACACGTTTGGCATTTTGGTCTTGAAGCATCTCAAGCATCACGGAAATAAAGTGCATTTGCTTTACAGCAGAGGAAAGGAAAACAAAGTGCTAAAGATTAATCAAAGCTGGAAGAAAGTAACCTCATTTGGTTTTCACTCAGGTTTTTGCCAGAGCTTTCTGTTCTGTCTAATTTCTTTTGTGACACCTCTGTGTTTCTCATTAGGCTTTCTTGTTTTACTTTGAGTCCTAAATCTGAATGATTTGCTGTAACCAAAAAGGCACGAATTGAAAACAAGTGTCATTCTAGAATACAAATTATGAAACTAGCCGATTCAAACTAGATTAAATACTTTGTTTTTGTTCCGCTGTCAGTCATGCAGTCAGCAGTAGTAGAAGTGCAGCTGTGGTGATGGTGTTTTTGCACAATTTGGAGCTTTGAAGAGTTCAATCAATAACCTGCTTCGAAATGTTTAGTGAGTAACAGGAGCTTGTTTCAAAATGCCTGAAACAGGTTACGTAATTGTAATGACTCTACACTAAAAACAGGCCTATAACTGATTAGATTAACAGTTTCGTAGCTGTCCTTGAGTTTGAATTAGATCGAGCATTCTGAGAGCTTTGTTCATTATTTGTAAACTATGCTAACCATTTGGCTAGGACTTGCTCGAAAAAGCAGGTTTTCTGATCTCAAGAGACCCTCCTAGCGAAATGAAGGTTAAATGAATATTCCCAGCAAACAACCAGTTTCAAAAACATATTTGAGGTAACAGAGACCTGACTGTCATTGATCGGCAGCACTATCATACCGTGCTTATTTTGTTCAAAGAGCAGATATAATATATATAAATTGCACATTCAATACTAAAACAGCAGTCATGATTCTGGTCTGACATTTTATCCATGGAAGATTTAGCTTTATTGCTTTGAAAAGGCTTGCGAAAAATAAAAAAAGCAAACGCACTGACTGCAGACTAGCGGGAAAAAGGGAATGATTGGCATATATTGGTGGCATCCCAGAATGTGTTTTTTTTCTGGTGATGTGAATGGGCAGTTTTGAAGCTGTCCAGTAGTGATGACGATGTTTATTTTACTGTTTTCTGTACTGTTATTTTTGTTAAAAAGTTTCCTGAAGATCACCCCTGAATGAACAGGGAAAAATGCAAAACACACAGTTATAACTTACTGGTTCAAAACCTTGGAAACTTGAGGTTATTTTGTAACAGATGGGTATTAAATGCACAAGATCCAGTGGAGATAACCACAAAGCTGAGAGGAGTGTAATTGCTTTAGAAATGGGCTCTTTTCTTCCTCAAATTCAAGGCTGCAGAGGGACACATAACAAGACATGCGGCATTGGCATTAAATGAACTAAAAGGGAGGGCCTTCATGCAGCCTTAACACTGTGGATGTGAGACAGCCGTTACCTTAACTTCAGTCAGTGAAACACTGACTCAGACCTCCATTATTTGGCTCCTCTTACCCAAGTGGACTGCACAGCAAATGATGAAAGTCCAGGTTCATATAAAAGCTGAATAACAAGCATGTACTGTATAATCAGAACAAGCCATTCCCAGATGAATACAAGTATATGTACTGGGAACATGATCTTTAAGAATTGATATGTGTTTTATGTCACGAAGAATAACTTAGTTAATATTTATGGGCAGAAACAACTGTGACCCAGATAAACGAACCCGAGAAATGAAACTATAATCTACACCGTGGATAATCAGTGTGTCACTGTAGACGTACACAAGATGTTTTTGTTTATCTTGGTTGAACAGGATGATGTTCTGCTATTCTCAGAAAATCCCCTTCTGTGAATGGTCAACCTTACACTACCGATAATAACTCCACCGGGGCCAAGTCTTTGGAAAGCAAAGACTGCCGAATGCCTTACAATCAGGACAAACAAAAGGCGCACAACCAGAGCTTACATGATGCATTGATTCATGCATGTTCAGGAGGCTGACATTTCATCTTTTTTAAATGTGTTTTTTTTTTCTCTCTCTCTCTCTCTCTCTCTCTCTCTCTCTCTCTCTCTCTCTCTCTCTCTCTCTCTCTCTCTCTCTCTCTTCAGCATGCCCACAGGGCACCTTTAAGTCGTTCCAGGGGGCAGGTTTATGTCAGCAATGTCCACTCAACAGTCGCTCCACCATCGAGGCCGCCACCCTCTGTGGATGCCGCAACGGATATTACCGTGGAGACATGGACAAAGCAGAGGACGTGTGCACAAGTGAGTCTCTTTCTGTCAAACTAACTCAAAAAATCTCTTAGAAATGTGATTGTAATTATGCTTTGGGACAATCTTGTACTGAAGTAACCACCAGCTGACATATTAAAACACATCAGTGGTTGACATCACTGACAGTCCAATTTCTCTTCATTAAATTAAAGGACAATATATTCTTTGATTTATCATTCCAGCCATCATTTCATGCACCTCATTCAGATGCGAGTGTGCCGCAATGTCCCCTTGGTCTTTTGGGGATTTGGGGAACAGTAAGTAATAACTCTGCCACACTCCTCAGGCTTTCCATTGAAGTGAATATGTGTTTAGTGTGTTGGAGAGGCTGTATTGCTATGCGAGGCAAGGCACAGAATTTGAAAAACACAGACTCAGTTCCACTGAGAGATGTTGTAAGTAGGTTGAGACATGAATCATTTTGGACTGTCTCTGAAGCTAGTCTCAAACTGTGAAACTGTGTGTGTATAAGTCTGTGTACACTGTGTGTGCTTGTGCAAGTCCTGGTGACCTGGATACAACTTGATGTTTTTCAAAGCTAAAAAAAGCTCTGGTTCATTCATGGGCAGTTCATTATTTTACTTTCTTACATTCATGAATGAATTTGCAACATTTTGCCTGAAGAATATATAAAAGGTAACCCAAAAACAGTCTTTGCTCCAATCCACAAAAGGATTGCTGAACCTCATCAAATATGACAAAAAGGCAGTGAGTTACTGCACCTGCAAACGGTGAAATGGACCCCTGCCTGCACTGTCAAGCAAATAGAGTCTCAGTGCTCCTGTGCTGTTTGCACATATTAAAGTAATATGCATACATTTGATGAAAATGCCCCCTTTTCATGCAAATGAGCCACATTGCAAGAACACTCAAATTCTATTTGAATTTCCTCTCATGAAGATTAGAGGAGTTCCTCACTGCATGTGGTCTGACATTTTTTTTCTCTCTGCTTTAGTTCTGCCATTGGTGCAAACGGTAACATTTATTATTTGCCACATGAACAAATGCAAAAAAAGACAAATTGACGCAGCTGATGGGAGAGTGATATAACAGGGTGTCCGTGGGGTCTAAAAGTATTAAAAGTTGATAAATCAATTTAGCCAAAATTAAGGCTATTAAAAAGTATTAGACGGCATTTTCCAAGGTATTACATTTTGTAGCTTGTTTTCAATAAGTATATCCATTGTCCAAAGAGGTTGTATTCTACAGTGTGCCTGAATGTAATCATTGCGTAGGTGTGTAGTGTGATTCTGTGTAGTTTATTTATGGCATCCCGTTGGATTTGACGTCATCTGAACAGGACATCGCACGCTCACGGCTTGATAGCGCGCAAAGCTCCGTTTACGCCGGTTGTTAAACAACATCGTTATGGGGAAATGCAAGTTTGCGTCCAAATGGTTGGAAGATAAGGAGGAAGGACAATCAATACTGTATATAGTAAATGTGAGGTAAAGTGTGTCGCCAAGGTAACCGGTTAAAATATCGAAGTGGCGATGAGGTCTTAAAATGTATGGAAAGGGTCTTAAAAAAGGTCTTAAAAGGTCTTACATTTGACATATATACAAGCGCAATACCTATTGTGATATCAGCCAGCAGGAAGTGGCTGATATCTGCGCTCTCAAGGTGCTAACAGCAGCCGCAATCAATCTTCAAATTCAACCATCAGTAAGGGTGGGCGGATCGATCCCAAAATATCGATACTTCCGATATTACGTTACGTTTCAAAATATCGATACTAGAGCCAATAGGATCGATACTGTTATACTTTTTTTCTCGTCTCCTCTACTCGTCAATTTCTTCAAAAAACTATGTGCAGACGAACACAAGTATATGCTCTTTTCTTCTCTCTCCACTGCTGTCCTCTTCTCCTCGAGGCTCCGTGCCTGAACGCCGATTATCAAGCTGACTGACAGCAGCCAGCAGGGCAGGACAGCAGCAGCCAGCGACTCGCGAGTGCAACACACACACGCGCATGATGGCTGAGAGAAAGAGCAGCGTTGTGTGGAGCAATTTCACAACTGGCAATTAAAACTTAGCGAACTGTGATGTGTGCAAGAAGACAGTTCGCTATATGGCCACTTTGTATTGTTATTTTTCATGTTTGCACTTTAAATTTGCAAAAGTAAAACGTGTATTTGTCTATAAAAACTGAAAATGAATTCAGATTTAGTCTATTTATGATGATTTCAGCTCAAAAATCATGTCATGCAGCTCTCCCCTATATGAAAGTACATAAGACGCTTTTCATTAAAAAAAGTATCGGTATCGGTATCGGCGATACTGGCCCTGAAATACTTGGTATCGGATCGAATCCAGATTTTGTGGTATCGCCCACCCCTAACCATCAGTGTGAATTACGACAACAAAAATGGTCCAATCCTTGCTTTAAGCCTTGTTTTCCCACCTGCTTGTCTCAAATATATTAATAACAAAGAAACACTAAACAACAACAAATGACCAAAAAGGTGTTAACATTTGGTCATACAGTATGTGCTGTGCTATCTAATTTTGCTGCATCATCAGCACCTCACATACTCCCATTAGGGAAATCAAATTATGAGGACTTTGAGCAAGTCACCCAGCACTTTATTGTTTTTTTTGTAATCTTATATGATGCTCACAAAGAGATAACGAGGAAGTAATTGATTCTGAACGTGAGTTTTATCAAAAAAAGGTAAACAACTGAATGAATCGGAGACATGTGGTCTCATATTAGGTGGAAATTGTGACTGTTTGGCAAGAAAAAAACAAAGACAATTAAATTCATATACTATAGAGATAAGATAAGATAAGACTTTATTCATCCCGAAGGAAATTGTTGTGCCAGAGTAACAAAATACAATAAACACAATAAACACAGCAGCAAAACTGTACACTAAAAGTGCAGCAAAAAGAGCAATTAAACATCCACAGACAACATGAAACGTAGAAACATAGAAACATAGATGGTCACACAATCAATGCAATTATTATTATTAGCAGTATTTAGTAGTTAGTAGTGCAAAAAATAAAACGTAGTGGCAGTTACGTAATTGCACGTTATCATAGCATTTTTAATAATACTAATAATATTAATATAATATTGCACATAGTTATATATATAGCAGCGAGTGTATTGCAATGATGTTAATTATCTTGATATGTATATTGCACATAGTGTTGGTGTGGAAGTTCTCAGTGCCCTTTACTTAGGGGTGAAGAGTTAAAGAGTTTGATTGCCACTGGGAGGAAAGACCTCCTGTGGCGCTGTGTGGTGGTTATCGGTGATCTCAGTCTGTGGCTGAAAGTGCTCCGGTAGGAAACCAGTGTGGCATGCAGGGGGTGAGACCCGTTGTCACAGAATGCCGAGAAGTTTCCTCAGCATTCTCCCCTCCGACACCACTGCCAACGACTCCTGATCCACTCCCAGGACAGAGCCTGCTCTCCTGATGAGCTTGTTGAGTCTGTTGGCATCAGCTGTCTTCACCCCGCTGCCCCAACACACTAGCAAAGAAGATCACACTGGAGACCACCGAGTCATAAAACGTCTGCAACATAGTGCTGCAGACGTTAAAGGACCTGAGTCTCCTGAGGAAATACAGGCGACTCTGGCCTTTCTTATATAGGGCGTCAGTGTTATTACTCCAGTCCAGTTTATTGTCTATGTGGACACCCAGGAACTTGTAGCTGTCCACAATGTCCACATCCATGCCCACGATGGTAATTGGGCTTGGGGCGGTACTCCGCTTCCTGAAGTTAACCACTAGCTCCTTAGTTTTTGTGACGTTGAGCTGCAGATGGTTCTGACCGCACCACAAAACTGTCCACCACACTCCTGTACTCAGCTTCCTGATCTCTGATGATACAGCCCACAATGGCAGAGTCATCTGAGAATTTCTGAAGATGGCAGGACTGTGAGCAGTGTCTGAAGTCTGATGTATAGACTGTGAACAGGAAGGGAGAGAGGACCGTGCCCTGAGGAGCGCCCGTGCTGCTCAATATAATGTCAGAGGTGTTATTCTGCAGGTTCACGTACTGTGGCCGAGCTGTGAGATAGTTGGTTATCCAGCTCACCAGTGGAGCATCCACCTACATGTCCAGTAGCTTACTGCTGAGCAGGGCAGGTCTGATGGTATTGAAAGCACTGGAAAAGTCAAAAAACATGCCTCTCACAGTGCTGCCTGCCTTCTCAAGGTGTGTGTGTACTCTGTGCAGCAGGAAGATGATGGCGTCCTCCACTCCAATACGAGGCTGATATGCAAACTGCAGATCAGTATTGAAAGTCCCCATCATCGTTGTATAATATTCCGCAGTCCTTGGGTTGGTTGCATTTTTGCTCACATGGGCGGTGGTGGCGAAGTCCATAGGGACTTAGTTTGGCAACTGGAAGGTCACCAGTTCAAGTCCCGGCAAGACCAAGTGCTACCAAGGCACCGTTCCCTACACTGCTCCCCGGGTGCCGTTCATAATGGCAGCCCACTGCTGCTAACACTAGGATGGGTCAGAGAAACCATTTCATTACATAGTACCTGTACTGTGTAATGACAATAAAAGTGCAAAAAATAAATAAATAACAAACCGCACTAGAGGCATATCGAGAACAAAATGTTCCAGCAACAGTGGTCCAGTTGCTTCAGTTTGATTTAAATATTCCTCTCTGAACGAGAAAGTCAAATGCAGAGGGATAGAAGCCATAGAGGTATAATCATCGTTGTTGTAAAATAGTGATCGTGAAAACATCAATAGAGGCAATAAACAGGGTGAACTATTACCCACACATTTCAGATCTTACACTAAAAACTTTTTCTCATTGCATGTGTCGCAACTGATCATTTATTGCAGATGGGAAATCGGAAAGGATTTTTCCACAGTGGTTATGGAACACTTTATGGGTTTAACCTTGTCTGACAACAGAGAAAGCACGTGAAAAGCCTCACCTTCAACAAGCTGCAGCATTCTCAAATTGATGCTGACAGGAGAAGAACATCTACTTTGCCAGAGAAAAGGTGTTATGTGTCAACCTACTTAGCCTACGCAGCTTTGTAGATTACCTTGATACATTTAATTCAAGGGTAAACACACATTGAGTCACAAGGTTTCCTTTTTAACACAAATACTATGAAACCTGTGGGTTTTAACTGTATGACTGGAAGAGCATCAGTTTAATTTTATTTAGTAAAAACTCAATCATATAGTAACCTCACAGAAAATCATTTCCAGGTACAGAAGAGGTGTGTGTGAGTACTGCATCTGTGTGTGTGTTTTTTTAAGTGTATTTTGGGTACAGGTCAGATTGAAACTGTGAAAGCCACTCCCAGCACAGTGAGGACGTGCAGTAAAGTGGTGGACTGCAGTACAGATAATTCCTCGCAGCAGTACAAATTGACAGTTAAAATGTGATAAGGCCTTTTTTTATAGTAATGCTATTCAGATCAAGTGAGTATTTGTGATGATTATTGTATGAATGCACAGTTAGTGGGCGGGTCCTCTCTCTGCAGGCTTGTTAATTATGCTGCTGATTTTTTCAACTTGCCACTCTGTTAGCACTGTGATTCTGCAGTGTGGGTCTATTACACACACACATTCATTATATATTTATTCCACAGGCCATCTCAGACGTTTCTCATGAAACTGATATGTAACATATGCCAAGGCTGAATATGGCTTTCATTTCTTGTTCCCACACGTTGTGCTGTTGTGTCTGTGTAGGTCTTTGTGATGTGCACGAACAGTCGAGGAGAATTGAACTCGCTAGGTTTAACCTTGTGAAACTCTGTCTGTGTGTTTGTAACACCCTGAAAGCCAGAGTTTCTGCTCAGATCAAAGAGATGAGCAGACAGAAAGGAGAGACTGAAGCTGAGTGACTGAATGAATAGTGACAGAATAAAAGATTATCTGGCTGGTGGTGAGCTGTTAGGTCACCTTCTGACTGAGAGAGACAGGGTTGTAAAAGTTCTCCACATCTGTAGCAGCAGTACTGCAGTGTCAGTGAAGTAAAGTTATCATCCTCATATTCTCTGTTCAGTGAACACAAGAATCCTGGTTAACTTCTTGAAGGAGCACTCACTTAAAGCTAAAATGTGATTCTTCACTTTGATGCCAGTATTGTGCTTCACTGTCCGTACTTTAATGTAGAATATAATGCTGGCAACATCTGGTGAAGAGAAAGATCACAAGATGGGATGGAAGATGTACTTTTCTGTTGTCACAAGAGTTGTAAGGAGTGTTCGGATGTTAGATATACCTTTTTAATTTGTATTAAATGATAGCTTATGAGTTGGTAGAGATGGTGACCTATGTACTGGGGCTTGGTACCAATGCTGAGGTTTTCCAAAACACTTTTTTTGCGTGTCATCCCTTTTGTCTCCCCCTTTCCACTGCAACTTCAATAAAGGCACTGGTTGCCCAAAACAATTAATCCAGCATTTTCCTTAATTCATTTTTTTGAATGTTTCTATAACATTTTAGAAAATGTGCATCACAAAAGAAACAATAACAGGACAGTCATACTCCAGCATATGATTGCATACATGTCCTGTCCTATCAGATATCTCCTTTACTGTCAGTGTGATACTATATAATTTGTCCTTTGTTACTGTAATAATATATCAACTAAAACGTTTCCAAAAATAGCTAACACCAAACAAGCAGTGATTCTCTGCTTTCACAACAGCTTGCTTTGCTATAAAATACCAGACATCCTGTGATAATAAAAAAAACATCCATATGTCAGACATAAGTAGACGCTGCCTAATGAAAATGCAAATTATTTTCTCAAGTGCTGACCATAATGAAGTTTGATTGCATCCAGGTGTGGAACGGTTAATCTGGCAGATTCTGAAACTCGTGCTTCACGTGTGTTTTTTCAATTCCTAACATCCAATCATCTGTGTCTAGGTGTCCCTTCGGCTCCTCGTAACGTGGTCTCAGTCGTCAACCAGACATCAGTGATGGTGGAGTGGCACCCACCGCGGGATATCGGGCACCGTGAAGACCTGTCGTATAACGTCCTGTGCCGCCGATGCCATAGCAACGAGCGCCGAGCGTGTCAGCCGTGTGACGACAGCGTGGCATTTATTCCGGGCAAGCAAGGGTTAAAGGAAACAATGGTGGAGATCAGCAAGCTGCGGGCCCACACATCATACACCTTCGAAATTCAGGTTGGTCCATTGCACAGAGAGAAGGGCTTTTTTGAGGCTCGAATGGAAATCTTTATTTGGAGTACCACAATCTTTAGGCTTTAAATGTGTTGAAAGTTAACATGCCTTTTCTGTGGTTTCACAACAGTTGCAATGGACACCAATGGCTCTCATGAATCACAAGAACCTTTGAAAAAATTTATCAAAAATCACCCTGCTTCTCTTTTGTCGATCTTGACAATATTGATTTCTAATTACCAGTGTTGTGCTAGTTACTGAAAACCAGTAACTAGTTACCATTACTAGTTACTTCATGTCAAAAGTAACTCAGTTACTTTACTAGTTACTTACATCCCAAAGTAATGCGTTACTGTGAAAAGTAACGTTTTTGTTACTTGACAAAATGTCTCCCATTAATGCCCTTATAGCCTTCATTTCAGTACTGTTATTGCATTGGAGAATAATACAATCTGTTGATCAACTTGACATGCATTATATGCTATCTGGATTGCATCGATATTAGCTGGCTTTCCATTTTTGTATATTCTTTCTCCAGGTAGTTGGAAAAAGTTTTCCGTCCCATATGCCGTGTGCCGCCGGACATGCTATCATGCTAACTAGCTCCCTGAAAGCGGGTGACTCCACTGTAGCAATAGCCTGCATGTGTTCTACAACATACCGTGCAATGGCTTTATCGACTTTTCCCTGGCCAGCAGTCCCTTGGTTAAAATCCAGCCGCTGTTGCTTAGGTGGAGGTGGAGTGGCGTCGGCTGAGTCTCTGTGGTCTTAGCTACTAGCTTCGTCCCAGCATGTTGTTTTTGCCGATGTTTTAAGAGATTTGAATGACTGGTTTGGGCAGTAGATAGGATCTTTGACCCGCCAAGACACAACTTACATTTAACAGAAACGTTCTTTTCTTTGTGCTCGACAAAAGTGAAATAGTGAGAATATCTCCAGGTGGAGAAACTAGACTTGAGCTCCGCCGCCGCCATGATAGTCTTGTTAGTAAACAACACAAACACGCCCACAGCCCGTCTCCGCATGTGACACAGGAAGTATCTAAGTACATTTACTCAAGTACTTAAGTACAGTTCTCATCTCTGTTCGCCTGGCTGTTGACTATATTAAAAAACTAACGCAGTAACGGAGTAACGCACCATGTAGTAACGGTAACTGCGTTACTGGATTTAAAAAGTAATGCGTTAGCGTACTAGTTGCTGCCAACATGACGGCGTTACAGTAACGCGTTATTTGTAACTTGTTAGTCCCAACACTGCTAATTACTCAATTATTCACAATACTTCATAGCTCTAAAAGTCAAGGTTGCAATTTAATTTCTGTAACGGTTGTAAATAAAGGATATTCAAGCTGCAACACTCCTTGGAAAAAACAAATACCAAGCCTGCAGAACAGATGAAGAGTATATCAGTGGATAGTTCCTTAAATAGTTCACACTACTACACAATGTTGAAGACATTCATGTTTACAAAATATGAAGATGCTTCTCAAAAAAATCGTTATACCTTTTAATAAAAACTATACAAAAATTATACTTTTTAAACTAGTGTGTTGTCAACTCGTGTTTTAATATGCAAATTGCTGCCAGATATTCCCCGTGGTGTTCAAGGATACTGAGGCTGCAAAGATGGGACGTATACATCTATAATGATGTATAAATGAATGTCTAAAACACTGTCCTGATTGTGAAAGTATTGATTATAATATGATGTGTTTCCCGAAGGCAGTCACACGGAAGTGAATATCCATTGAGACATCCATCCGTTTCTTCCAAATGGTTACATCAAAAAAGTTATTCTGTATTGATGCAATAACTATCTGTTTAAAATACTAGTGGTGCAATGTAGACACATTTGGCAAACTGATATATTTGAATCCTTTTAGACGTAAAAGGAAAGATAAAACATAAAATAAAATGTGAAATGATAAAGAAACAACACAACATTATAGAATTAGAGCTTGGTGTAAGCCATTAAGCTATCAGTACTAATTGCTACGCCTTGGTTTAATGATTTGCTGCGACTAAAGACATTGTTCCGACCGTCAAAATGATTAACTGAGCTCACGACAAACAACATGTGGCAGATAATTAGCTGGTCTTTAAACACACTCGGAACCATTTAATTGTGCCTTTGTGTTGGTGAGATGAGAAAGACACTGAGACAGTTTTTGAAAACATTTACAGCCTTTCTACACTGAAGTAAAAATAAAATACATGTTCCACCAAAAGCAGAAAATATATATAATGTCTTGCTTGTTCAAGTGTGTAAGCTAAGCAGCCTAACAGGGTTATCGTATTCATAAATAATAGCTGGATATTACAATGTTATTATTCTCCTAAAACACAATACCTCTATAGTAAAATATAATAATAATGGTGATGTTTTCCATGTCTCCTACATGTTCACCGGAGAAGTTAATGATATATTGTATTTAACATTAATTGACAAGGTTTTCCTTTAAAATGTGTCAGCGGGAAACATTAAAGCAGTTAATTTTAACATCAGTTCATGAGTTTTCAACCAATTGAGGATTGTACATCTTTTGGGGCCACTTAACCTTCACAAATAGAAAACAAATCAAACTGTGTAATCCTTAAAGCCCCCGCATAAGGGTGAAATTAACCCCTAAGTGTGTAGCAAGCAAATGGCGCCTAGATGTTCCTTTGCTATTTAAGATAACATATTTTTCTTAAAATGTCCCTTTTGTATTCAAACGAGCCTCGTTCAAAAAACTAAGCTAGAGCCCAAGGAATTACAGTGAAATTAATAGCGTCTTTAGAGCGTTGATAGTAACTGAAGCGCTTTTAGGCTATAAAGTACATCATGCCTGGACTTTGCAGTGTTTAGATTAGCAGGGATTGTAGCCGGACTCAATGTCATTTTATTTTGGAATGCAGTGACAGTTCAATCAGGAGAGACAGTTTTGATGTAAGAGTACATATTTATTGCCAGAAATACACATGAATGTAAAGGAGTTTTGGCGATTAGGCCCCGTTCTGCAGGAATATCATTCGGGAAGGTAGAACCGATCCGATGAAATCCCCTGGGGTCTTGACACTGGTGGTGGTGAATGGATAGCTGGGGTCGGTCTGAAGAGGAGTGGCTTAGCTTGACCCTGGATTCAGATGGACGGGAGGTGAAGAGGGGTGGAGGAGGGTTGCGCCGATTCACCTGGAATGAGAGCTGTCAGAGGGGAGAGCAGATTTAAAAAGTTTAGCGGAGCACTATGATAGGCTTGTGAGAATAGAGCGAAGTGATTGGTTAAGCTGGGGAGTGACGCCCCCGATCACTTATTGAGAAGAGAGAGTAGTAACATGGAAATAGTGAATGAATGAGTAAAGAAGGTCTTCCTGGTTGAACTTGCGCTAAGCTTCATTTGTCTAAAGAAGTGTTGTAAAAAGAAAATGAACACAACTCTTTTACGTGACATTTCTGAGAGAATACATGAGAAGAAGAAGAAAAAGAAACACAAAAGGAATTATTTCCTCCATCTCCCTGATTGCAAATTGCAATTGCACTCAGTAAAACGTTTTGAGCATGTAGGCTATAGTGTCGTTAGCGCAATATCTTTTGAGAATAGGACAGTGAGACAGAGAAGATAGCACTGGCAAAGGATTCACACTTTATCGTGCTGTTAGTGACCACAATACATTCTTTGTGAAATTGCCCCTTAGTTGTTAGATCATACAGTAAAATGTGTTGCTGCTGAGAAATGAGAAACCTCCTTTTGTGTATCTCCACCTCAAATCAAGGAACTATTGATTTAGGGATTACTTGGGAGTGTAAAATGTGCTACTGTTGTAAATTGTTGTTAGATGAAAAAAAGGCCTAGCAACAGTTACAATGGGGGTTAATGTCTATAAGATTGATAAACTGACCATTACACTTTTTACCCTACAGGCAGTCAACGGAGTATCCAACAAAAGCCCTTATCCCGCCCAACAACTGTCAATCAACATTACAACCAATCAGGCGGGTGAGTTCGGAAAACTGTGTGCAAACATCTGTGTTTGTGTGTGTAAGCCTACCCTGGGGCACAGAGGATTATGCGAGGGGTGGCTAGGGGGATAAAGGAAATTGAGCTGCAGCTTTTTTTATTCATAAAACATGTTATAAGTTTGTCATCTCTCTCTCTGTCTCTGTCGCCTCTTCTCTGTCTTTCCTGCATATTCACAGCCTTCATCCTGTTTTCCTCTTTCCCTCACTCTCTGTTCTCTCTCTGCCTGTATCCCCTCTCTCTGTCCTCCCTTCTCTATCCCCCCTCCCTCTGTCTCTGACACTGTAATTCTCAGAGACTATAAAGTGAGCTGAGTTACAGCTCAATCAATACTTTATAGAGACAGACACAAGTGATATTTCCACTGCTACCAAATTTAGATTTAAAAGCCGCTTTGCTCAGATGGAAAACACATAATTTACCTCATCTACAACAACCCAGGCTCATTCCAAATCGAAACATGATCCATTGTCACCTGCTGCTTTCTGAACGCATTTGTAACTGCTGCCGGATGCAGAACTCTCTTATCCCTGAAATCTTTTAGAACTCGACAAAAACAGATTTATTTTCCGGTTTATTGCACCAGGGGGTTTAAATTATGCAACGTGTTTGAGTGTATTTCATGGGACCTGCCTGAGGACATGGAACTCACTCGACATACAGCGAACCCTGTAAAATATACATTTTGACAAAGTTGAAATGAGTCTTTTTAAGGTGACAGCTCACTCAAATTATGACTACAAAGGAAGTACTCAATTTTTGAGGAATCACAGCATTTACTGAGTTTTTTGTCTGCCTATGATCCCCTGATGACTTTGGGAGATGTATACATTCTCAATATAGTGAACATCAATTTGATACTTTTACCTGGTGTAGTATCAATCCTCGAGTCTTCCTCTCTTCAGTGCAGCCTCTCAAGTGAAGTACTGTACAAAAGTGATGAAAAACAACTTGTAAAACGATCCAGGAGGCAAAACCATGAACATATATTATAGCCAAGAGCTTCTGGTTCTTAAAATTATGGGTGAAAATGCATTGCAGACATAACTCATGCTTCCCCATCAGTGACAAGTGCAGTAATTTGTTTTAACGAGGCTGGATGCGTTAACATTTTTCTCGTCAGGGTGTATATAACCCTTGGCAATATCTCATTACATTACACACTATATTTCCATATTTATGGGTTTAAAGCATTTAAGCGAATAGTTTAACTGCCTAATTGATTGTGTGTGCTTGTGTGTGTGTTTTTTAACAGCTCCCTCTGTAGTTCCCATAATGCACCAAGTGAGTTCAACAAGTCGCAGTTTCTCGTTGTCATGGCCACCGCCCGAGCAGCCCAACGGAATTATCCTCGACTACGAGATACTATACTTTGACAAGGTAGAGTGGGATGATTAATGTTTGTGTGTGTTTGTCTGAGCTTCTGTGCTGTTATGGTCACAGACAGTAATCCATTAAGGCCCTGTCACACTGTCCCGAAATTGACACCCGATGGACACACGATAAAGGAAATGTTCAAATTCGGCTGTGATCGTAGCAACATCGGGCCATTCGTGAGGGCATCTTAAGCCATCGTATGACCGCCGGTGGAGTTTCTCAGGCTCCGGCAGCAACTTAGTGAGCGGCAACTTCGTAAGGCACTCGTGAGGACATCTTGTAAAATCGTGTCATCTTCGTGTTATCATCGGTGCATTCACCCTCACTCTGATCGGGGCGAATGCCCGATGGCACCGATGATAACACGATGCCCTCACGATGGCCTTACGAAGGGCACAATTGACACACGAATTCAACACGAAAATGAACCTTCGCAAGGTCCTTCGGCAATTTTTTGGCATGCCAAAGATTTTGCCACCGCTCACGAAGTTGCTGCCGGAGCCTGAGAAACTCCACCGGCGGTCATACGAAGGCTTAAGATGCCCTCACGAATGGCCCGATGTTGTTACGATCACAGCCGAATTTGAACATTTCCTTTATCGTGTGTCCATCGGGTTGTTTTATTGCACAACAAAATCATGTAAATATATTATGTAAATAACCCAATTTGTGTTCTGTGAAACTAAAAAGGATATAATATATTATTTTGAAGGACAGTTGACAGGAAGTTGTTGTTGTTATGGAAACAACATTACGGAGAAAACGTAATATTTTCTACATATAACGACGGATAAAGTAAAGAACAAAGTCTGAAGATATCAGTACAGTATCATAGTACTGTAACACAATTGTTTTTGGTACTTTCATTGCAGTTGTATGTCTTAAATGTAATGTAAATGTTGCCTTCGTGTGTGGTTCGGGGCCATCTTCGTGCGAAATTCACAATTCCATATTCGTGTGTCCATCGGGTGTCAATTTCGGGACAGTGTGACAGGGCCTTTAGAGTCGATATAAACAAGAGAATCAATATCAACTACATCGGAGTCATCTATTATCAGGAGAAGCAGCAACAGTCTCACTGCTTCATACAGAACTTTAATAATAAGGGGAAATAATACTGCATGCTTGATCCTTTACAATATGTCTGCCCATGTTCAGTTCATTAGGTCTGTACTAATACAGTAGGCCTATATGGGTAAACTAACCAATCAAAGGATCACTAAACATTAGGTCAGATGAATAAAACATCCTAAGAAGCGTACATGTTGTCATCCAAGTAATCGGACAAAGAAAGTTATTGTACTTAATAAAAAATTGCAACCTGTGCACATTGAATAGCAATGGCCAGGAAACAGTTAGCTTAGCTTAGTTTAGCTTAGCATGACGATTGGATACAAGTGGACAACTAGATGGGCTCAGTCCATGGTTTAAAATCTTCTAAGCTGCTCGTCCAAATGTTACACACTATTATTTGTTTATAGGTTTTTCATTGGCAAATAAATATTGGGGCACATTACCGTCCAGTAAAACCACAAGGTTCAAGGTTCTTTATTTTGTGATATGAACATAGCAGTGTAGTTATGCCGATGAAAATCTTAGGTCACAGGCTTCTCCAACAGTTCAACACAGCTACACAGAAAAATATAGTGCAAGTAAATTGAAAATACAAAAAGAGAAATAGTTTAAGAAAGTGAAATAGTGCGATAAGAGTCTATAAATAATTACCAAGTAGCAGATGAATGTTATGGATGTTGTTTCAACAGTTCAGGTGTTTAGCAGTCTTATTGCCTATGGTATGGAACTGTCTCTGAATCTGGTGGTTTTAGTCCGGGTGCTGCTTACATGTTGTTGTAAAAACATTGTTGACAGTTACTTAGTTTTTCAAGGTATAATTGGTTAATCAGTGAGCTTCAGAAGTTCTGGTAAGCAGATGTTTTTACCTCTCGACAGAGCCAGGTAAGCCAGTCTTTATGCTAAGCTAAGCTAACTGCTTTCAGGCTCCACTTTCATAATGAACAAACCTGTACAGGAGTGGTAACAATGATCTCAGGTAACTCTTAGCAAAATAATCAAATGGGTATTTTCAAAATGTCAATTCCTTTACAAAATAAATAAAGCATTTAATACATGTTTAATAAAATATTGTCAAACACAAATAGAGGACAACAAAAAGATCTATAAAACAACCCAGACCCTCCAAGAGTTAAATGAATAGAAATAAATAAATACGCCCAATTAGATCAAAGTAACAGTATTCAACATTTTATCAAAGCATTTTTTTCATTGATAAAATAACCATAATATGTGTGGAATAATACAGCAATGCAAAGGCATGCAAGAATAATTTTAGGTTTTACCTGACGGCACAACTGGAGTTGACCTAATTTAAATAACACAGTGTGTGGGAGTTATTCCCACTTGTGTTGCTGAATCAGGTTATCATAATGTGTGAGGTATTTATTCATCTACTTATCCAAATAACTGAAATGATTACATTAGTACAGCAATGTCCACTGTAAGACCTTAGTGGTGCAAACAAAAAAATGTGACACAATGACAGATGTGGTGTGTGTGGCTTATCGGTTGTTACATGTGTCCATTTACAACAATGTCTCTCAAAGTAATAATACCAATCACTCAATGTCTAATTATTGTAATATTCCACTTGGCATTATATAAGAAGATGGATGTGGTGAATGCTCCTCATTGATATGACGTGAGGATTATTAAAGGACGGTGGACAGCAGACACCTGTCAACATGCTTGGATTTATAATTGCTGTTATTGATGTATTTTCTCTCCCACTCGCACTTTATGTCAATGAAAGTGTTGGGTTCATGCTTTATCTTTTATACAATGTCATTTCCTAATAAGTCTCCATTGATCTTAGAGTCACAAATTCATATCTCTTGGGTCCTGTCGTAAACTGACAGGGATTCACGGTGACGGAGTGCCTCTCTTTGTTCCAGCACACATCAATTGTACTCTTAAAAAAAGAGCATCTATTCATTAATAACTGGCCACAGTGAGGTCCTGTCAAACAGTAAGCTTACATCACTTCAACTAAATTATGAAAGAAAGGTTTATTGATTTATTGTATCTTACAAAGCTGGGTATCTTTCTTCCATGAACAACTGATTTAGTTCAAGGGGCCATGGTTTCATAAGCTGTATGACGCAAAATGGAATCTAATTATGGTCTGTTGGCTCTGGGAGATCCAATTAATACCTTTTTTAAATGGTCAAGCAACTCATATTGTATGTCTACTGTCTAGTACCGTCAACATATCACTATTATATTTCTAAAAGGAAAAAATACCTCAGACAATAATGGAAAGTCAAAGTCAACTTTATTGTCAGACAGAGAGATTGAAATACCGTTTCCCACAATCCCAAATACAAAATACAAATATATATAAAAATATGTATATACCTACAGTATCACAATCAACAGACACACTTATACATAATTATGCACACATTAAGAGATACATAAAAGCACAACAATCAATATATACAAAATAACAGTATACAAAAACAAAATGTTACCCTGACTGTTGTCATGTCCTGAATATGTATGTTCATTCTCTCATGATATCATGTTAAAGCTTGGATGCAGTTTTTCACCATAGGCTCAATTGTCACACATAATCCAATATCCATTGGGAGGAATGTAGTGTTTGTGGACTGCAGCCACTCATATTGCTGCATTGTTTGTTGAGTGAAATGATTTTCCTACATTCATCTCCTGAGCTCACTGTTGATCTGACCTTGGTGTCTCAATCTTTGCCAAACGACATCACAGACTGCCTTTTATTTCAAACCTTCATTTATGAAACCTTCTTTGCCATTGCCAATGATCAAAAGATGAGAAGTGCCTGTACAGTATGTCCTTAAACCAAACTCTTGAGAACTTGGCTACTTGGTATAAGAATCAAAGGGAAAAGTCTCAAGACTTCAAGACGAACTTCTTGCAGCACCTCAAGCCAGCTGAGATATGATCTTTCCAGCGTGTTCTGGTTCTACCCTAGGGTCTCCTACTGAGCCAGTTTTGATCTGGCCAGAAATCCTTCAAGAGGATGCACCCAGGAATCATCCTTATCAGATGCCCAAACCACGTCAACCGGCTCCTTTTTATGCAAAGAAGCAGCAGATCTCTCTCCAGATGTTTTACCCTATTTAATTGGCTTGTTTTCACTGTTTTGCAAAAGAGATCAGAGAGTGAATATGATGGTAAAATGTCGCCTCACTTCTTGTCGTGTATGTCAACATCTTGAGAGCACTGGAAGCTCGTTTTGTAGCTGAATCACTTGAAGACGAGGGGAAAGAAGCTCCAATTTACTGGCTATTGTGGATGCTCCTGAAATCAAATGTCCTACTCCTCTGCTCCGTAAAAAATACTGTCCGACTGAAGCACTTTAACCCTCCAGCTGCCCTGTAGTGGACATTGTCCTTACTAGTGTGTACCAGCAGATTGAAGGTACAAAACAGTTCACTGCCAGAGTCCAATTATCAAACTATCCGGCACAAAGAATGTCAATTCCAGGTCATCAATAAGTGCCTCAGATTCAGGGGTGAAACGTGAAGGAGCTGATTGCTTTCTCCTCAAAGACTGCTGCTCCGGGACATAAAAAGAACTCCATTGAGGGGACAAACCGGGACTGCATATCTTGTCTTCTTTGTAATTGAGTCAGTGGAAAGCAATGTTTCTGGAGCTTGAAAGTTAAATTAAAAGCGTATCTATCACCCGAAGCTGAGCAAATCTTTTCAGAAGCAGAGCCAACGGCTGCGAAAACAGATAGACTTTCACTGCAAACAGATTAAAAACTAAGTGTAAAGCACCTACAAGTGTTTGTGTGAGATACTGTACACCAGAAAGAACAACATGCCGCCTCATCCACAGCCCACATTTGATTTCCTGCCATTTATCTCCTTCTTTTTTTTTAAAGAGAAGAAAATAGTTTTGGGCATTTTTTTTGGGATATCACTGCTAGTCTCTGCCTTTCATCCTTCCTTCCTTTCTAATACTGACAGTGAGTTGGTGCCTCCATAACAGATCAAATACTGAGATAACATCATAACTACAAACTGTAAAGGCTCAAGTGTATTCGCAGCTGGCTTTCTTTTATCTATTTTTCCGGTTAAAACCCTCCAAAGTCATCGAGTCCAATTGTTTTTGCAGCACACCATATGACTATCTTGTCACTGTGTGGCAAAGGGGAAGAGGAAGTGTTTTTAGTGTTACTATTGTTGTTTCTTCTCTTGGTTCATTGCGGGCTAAGTCTAATATCTTTAATCCTGTAACTAGCACTGACACAACTGTTCATTACTATATTCATTCTTATTCTAATGTTAATTATTATACTCTTTTGCATTTATGTTTTTTTTTACGCTTTTGATAACTTTTCAACTTTAAATGAAATAATAATAAATTGTATTTCTATAACACTTTTCATAGACTCAAAGTCGCTTTACAATAAGAGGAGGGTTAATAGCATAAACATTGATGTATGCTGGTATATGCATAAAGTACGAATATAATATTTTTGGTATTATATTCAAAAACATTTGATTCCCATCTTACGGTACTCACACATTTTGAAATGCTACTAAAATAGTCAACTCAGATTCACTGTCAAAGGTTTTGTATAATGAAAGCTGAGTTGCATCTTTCCTCATTCCTCTTTTTATTCATGAAATAGGATTCACAAATATATTTTGCTGTGAAATGCATGAATGCCATTATCAAAACGTGTTTTTATGTTCATGGGAAAACACTGCAGATTCAACTCTGCAGAGCTCTTGAACTGTAGTTCAAATATAAAGTGTTGACTGTCAACAGCACATAAACAACAGCGCTCAACTTAAACTTAAACTATTTAAATGTGTTCCCTCTCGTAATGTAATGTGAATCCTACCAAGAGACAACTCTTTGTTTTGTATGTACAGTATGAAGGTGATGGATCAGAAAATGCTTATATGAAACACGTAGCTTAAAAAAAAACCTTATTTAAACAAGAAATGTATGTATACAGGAGAGAGGCTCTCTAAATGTGAGACTATCCACAATATTATAGGAAATCACCTGGAAAGCTCATGCTGTGAACCCTATTTAAAAAAGAATAGAAGTACTAGGTGACCGGGGAATAATATGACAGAAAAAATAAAACCTTAACAATACAAATACATCTCAAGAGGCGGGGGGGGGTGGGCTTCATCCCATAGTTTGGTTTTAAGCAAAGTTCCAGGAAAGGATGGAGAAAAGCAGAGGGAGAGAGTTGAGCATCATGCAGCTCGGAGAGCAATTATAGTGAGTTAGAGTTAGAGTAGAGGACAGAGTGTGAAGAGCTGCACTCGCTGAGACATGCTCTGTCGCTGCAGTCTGACTGTCACTGATAAAAAACTTTCTTTGTCAAAATCAGGGCAACGGCTTTACTCTAAGTCGGCCTTATATAGTGCTGCCTGTGCTTTAACATTATTTAACATGGAAGCCAATTAAGACCAAGAATCAAAAGCTGGCCATTATGAGTTCTTTCATTGTTTCTCCTTTTCATTCTTCTTCCTTGATATACATCATAAGAAGGGAGGAATACTACATGTTTCACTGAAGACAAGCCAACCAAATGAAGCGACTAATTTTAGCTCAAATGAAGAAGTCCTCAGGGAGCGGTTTGATAAGCCTGGAGAGAGGACAGGTTTTTCTTACCAGACAGCTGAACTGTACCGCCATTTCTCCACCTTCATCCCCTCCCTCCCCTCATAGTGACTCTTTAGATAATGAGGTTTTAATGTTGTAAATTTGATATGGCACAGGGAGGCAGGATTTTCCCTCAATACTTATCTCTGGCTTCCAGACCTTCCCAGATGGGTTGCCCCCTAACCTTCTCACTGTGGCAAGCATAGAGCCCCCCTCCACCCCACTGCACACACCTTCAAATCCAAGCCCCACCACAACACACTACCCCCATTTTCTGCAGGTATAACTCTATTATTTTCTCCCAGCTCATTCTGTAGCTGTCCATGTGTTGTGTCCTAATTTGGACAGAAGACTCTGGACAGTTTTTCTACAGTATTTAAAAAGTTTAGCAATTCAGAATCAGAAACGGGTTTATTACCAGGTAGGTTGACACGTACGAAGAATTTGACTTGGTGTCGTGGTGCATACATACAAGTAAAATAAAAAAAACACAGATAGAGAACTATTTTAAGAACACTATAATAACATTAAAAAATAAGAAAAAATATAGTAAAATAAAGCAGTATTTACATTGAAATAGAATGAAATAAAATATATGCAGTAAAAAAAACAGATAAAGGATTAAATATAAAGATAAAATAAGATTATAGCCTATTGATGTTAGATACAGTACACCAAAGTACTTTGTGTACACAGGAATCACACTAGTACATCACATAAAACATCTTATTTCTTTAAAGTGCCAATAAAAATAGCCAGCAACGACATATATATAGGGGTTCCAGAAGATCAAGGGGGATGTAATTAAGATTTACAATGATAACATTAATAAAAAGACACTCATGATTAACCCATTTGTATTCATGTGCATGCCCTCCTTTGATAACACCCTTTTTCCACCCTTACACTTCCTTCCCTCCTGAACTGTTCTCCTCATCACCGTCCTCATCTCTGTTCCTCTCCTCTTCGCTCTGCTGTCTACCCCTCCACCTCCTTCAACCTCACAGCATGGATCCCTCCCCCGTCCTTTCAAGCCTTCCCCACACCATATCTGTCGTTCCCTCTGGACCGTTTCAATATTGCCGCAGTAAAAACTCTTCTCTCTTCTTATCTTAAAGAAATGGGGGAGAAGAAGCATAGAAGGACAGCGTAGCAAGATCGAGGTAAAAGGTTGTAGCTTAGCCTGATTCACCTCAGGAGCAGCAAGAGGCCCAGATGCTCCGGTAGATCTTTCTCTGTGGACAAAAACTAATTAACTGCATTATCACCCAGTTATTTGAAGGAGATGGATGAAAGAACTATGGGGAAGGTTAATCTGGACAAAATGACTGAAAGAAAACCTTTTTTTTATACTGGTGTCTTGCATTTCAAATAGTTAAGGTTGTATGTGCCGGGGCTTTGAATGATGTCCTTTTGTATTTTCCTCTGTCACCACTCTGGCTAAATGGAGGAAATGGAATTGTATTTGTGGTGCACAAAACTCTGAACAAAGTAAAAAGTAATGGCAATGTGTCTTCCCAGAAACAATGACCCAGTAACTCTGTAGAACTTACTATCACCAACTTTCATAGGGACAATTTATTCAGAACACACTACTTCCAATCTGGACGTGATGGAGAGTTGAAACTATAAAGCAGCGAAGACACAAAAAGCTTTTCAATTTTGTGTAGAGAATAAAGTAAATGTTCCATTGATTTTCTTTCAGTAGAAAGTAGTTCCAATAAAACACATTCATTCTAAGGGAATGTGGATAACTCTTGGACAATGCTTCTGGAAAAAATATTTGAGAAAAACAAAATGTAATTCACTTCCATTATCTTTCCATCTAAATTTGGAGCAACATTTTTTACTGTTGGTTTGTCACACTGAAAATGGCTGGTACACATACAAATACTAAAGACATTTTCTACAATAGTGATAGAAAAATATATTTTGTATTTGTATGTATACCAGTCATTCTCAGTGTGACAAACTAACAGATTGGAACTGGATCTGTGACTGTAGAAGTGTTATTGTCTGCCGTCTCGCTGTGAAACATATTAATCTCTTTCAATGCTTCCTTTCAGTCCCTGTCCTCATCACTGAACAGTTCAATGGTCCAGAGCAAGATTCCCAATGTGGTTCTGGAGGGTCTGAGGCCAGGGACCGGATACGTGGTCCAGGTGAGGGCCCGCACTGTGGCTGGATATGGTGCCTACAGCAAGGATATGCTCTTCCAAACGCTCACCGACGGTAAGTAGGTGGGTGGCTGGAGTGTGTGTGTGTGTGTCACTGGGGGTTTTGTGGCGGAGGGAAAACAGAGAGGAGCACTGAGAGGGGGATGTGAGATGTTTAGCAAGAGCAGTATCTCCCTGTGAAGTAATTACATCGTGTGTGTGTGTGTGTGTGTGTGTGTGTGTGTGTGTGTGTGTGTGTGTGTGTGTGTGTGTGTGTGTGTGTGTGTGTGTGTGTGTGTGTGTGTGTGTGTGTGTGTGTGTGTGTGTGTGTGTGTGTGTGTGTGTGTGTGTGTGTGTGTGTGTGGTGTGTGTGTGTGTGTGTGTGTGTGTGTGTGTGTGTGTGTGTGTGTGTGTGTGTGTGTGTGTGTGTGTGTGTGTGTGTGTGTGTGTGTGTGTGTGTGTGTGTGTGTGTGTGTTAAAACAAGCCTTGTAAATTACATGTTAGCAAGGGAAACTGTATTTTTCAAAAATATAAAAAATGTTATATATTTTCAATGTGTCTGTGTGTTTTTTTTGTAGATGAGTATAAGTCAGAGCTTGGACAGCAGCTCTCTCTGATTGCAGGCTCTTTAGTTGGTGGAGTGTGTATCGTATCATTGGTTGCTATTGGCATCATCTGTACCAGGTAACACACACACACACCTACATACTGTCCACCCAAACACACACAGATACACATGCTGCATTCACGTGTTTGCCTCACGTGTTTGCCTGTTACATACTTTACATAATTGTAATTGTCAAAATGTCCGTGATCGAGGTATTAAATATGTTTTGACGTGATTGGATTTAATAGCAATATTTAAAAAAAGTTTTTAATGTGTGAAAAACAAATCATTGAAAATATAAGGGTGACGACCAGACTATTAAAAGTGTAAACGCTCAGTATCCCAACCATTTATTGGCCCTTTTGGACAGAAAACATGTTGATTGCCGAGTAGGAAAAGCCATTACAACGTGACAGAGACCAAGCATGCACAGCTACAGGACCCTGAAGCAGTAGCAGCTAAATTGGAATGCTAACCAAGTTAATTTAAGATTGTGAGGAGGATTCCTTATTAGAATATTATATTATAAATATTGTCATGGGATAATGACTGAGCCACATGATCAGGTTGACAGGTAGTAAATGTAACTTGAGTTTAGAATTGTATTATATTTATAAATACTTTTTCCCAAAGTCAAGAATGATCTTATACATTAGTCATGTATTGGGTTTTGTCTGGTGTATTTGGTCAGCTTTTTGTTACAGTAAACAACATTTATTTTCATTTTTTTATTCATAAGTAAATAAACTAGATTTACATACTGCTGCATGCTGTACATGTACTCATTAAATAGGACTGTTATAGTAGATTTATCTTAAAATGTATACGGTAATGCATATGAAATGGCATATGTAGGAAAAAGTATTCCTTAGCTTCCTTTTAAAAAATGTCAATTTGTTTATGATTCGTAGAAAACACAATTCTAAATGTAAGGCTTTGCATTTAAATAATGTATTTTTTATTCCCCAATGGTTTCAAAGTAGATCAGGAATTATAAAAAATACTACAAAGTTTCTGTGACCCCATGACCTGCCACCAACAGCTAGTGAAAGGCTGTCTCTATCTTCTTGTGTGCGTCTATTGTGAAGTTGACACATACAACAAAAACACAGTGCATTTATTTGGTTCCATTCTCGTATGAAAGCACGGGACCAAAGCTGACAACACAGTAACAAGTAACAAGCAACCAAATACTAATGCATTCCTAAAAGTCATTTTTCTTGTCTTAAGCAGATTTCTTTTGACATAAAGGAAGACTTTATTTTGAACCCCATCTCAGCTGAAGAGAAGACAACCAATTATATTTCTAACTTTTCTGCAACCTTTTCTTCTCAATCCCCCCAAACCGCTCTTGTGTTATTCCTGTGTGCAGGAGGAGGCAGTTGAAGGAGAGTGTGTACGGTGACAAGCTGCAGCAGTACAACGCAGGAGGAGGTACGACCAGTGCTGACACTTTAATGAGCTCCAGCTTTAAAAATGCTTACACACCAACTTCCAAAACAGTGTTTATATTTCACTCTCTTTGACTTTCTTATTTTCTCCTCAGAGGTGACAATGAGGCCGGACATGTTCAGCGGGCCAACCCCTACTGTGACCTTTCCCACAATGTCTGATGGTCATAGTTCACCGGGGGTCAAGATCTACATTGACCCCTTCACCTATGAGGACCCCAACGAGGCAGTAAGGGAGTTCGCCAAGGAAATCGACCCCTCCTGTGTCAAAATAGAGGAAGTCATCGGATCAGGTAGAGACTTTCATAGATGTAGTGTCTCTCATGTACTTCCTGATGGAGATAAAAGCTAAACTCAACAAAACCCCTGATTTGATAACCATGATTATTTCAATGTGTGTCAAATATTACTGTTCCTTCATTCTATTTGTTCACAGCTTAAGATAGAATGAGAACAAAAATATAGTTCATATTCATACCGCTTTGAAGGGAACGTTATAAAAGTAAACCGTGGTTTCCTCTAATGAGACCAACTGTCACTTGAAACAGCAGTTACTGTAAATGAATGAATTTATTCAGCGTTTGTGTCAATAAGAAAGATCTGGAAAAAGTGCTATTCCAAATTATTATTTTGCCTTATTTTTTTCCTTTGAAGTCAGGAGAGATGTTTTATTCATGCTGAAAACTTTCACAGGAATAAATTAAAACGGTCTTCGTGCATTCTCTTTGGCTTTCTGAGCTGAACTGTAAAAATGATGTGTGATGTTCGGCAAACGGAGAAAAGTTGGATGTGAAATGGAGTCCCAGAGCATCCTCTGAAACAGTTTTTAAGGGAGCACCGTGTTAGCTGTTCGGTTGGAAAAAGGATGAAAACAAGAAGGGCACTCGGAAAGCTTGGTGGTCGTAGGAGAAAAATAATGTGTGTATCCTCGTATTGATTCCGATCTTAAGCAACATTTCATATTCTTCCCCTTTCCAAGTTTAATGAAAATCGGGTCTGCAGGTTTTTCTATAACCCTGCTAACAAACAAACAGAAAAACATAATGTCCTTGGCGGAGATAATAAGAAACCAAAAATAAGGACACATTTTACAGCTGCTAAGATCAAAAGCCTTATTTTAGCAACAGATCCCTGCATACTGAATCTATGCAACATCTTCAATCATTTCACTAACGATTTATTGTCTCCAAGGGGTCCAAGTTAGATGCTAAACACACTCACTTTTTAGCATAACATTCATAAAAAACGTAATAGAATGCATAAAACATCAAGAACAAATATGTAAAAATATGCTAAAACCCACCAAACAAGGTCATAAATATGATCACAAAATTCAGTGTGCCTCCATTTAAACCAGAGGAGCATCCACTCATCACCATCCAATCAGTTTTACAGGTACATGTGTTAAAAGAAACAACTTCTCAGATACAACTTTTTTTCAATAATGAAATTGCATTGAAATTTGGGATTACAAAATACTAGAGAATATCATTAAACTCTGTAGGTGATATTAATACTTAATGTGGATTATTGCATCAAATGTGTGATAACATTTCAAGGTCTTAAAGTCATAGCCATATATCATTCATCTCCATGTTACATTTTGAACTCTTTAACACGCAGCTCAATGCCACTCAGTACAGGGGCAAAGTCACTGAACTGCCTCAGAGCATCAGACTCCTAAAGGCCACGGCTCAGTCAGTACTTTTAAGACTTCATTTAAAATATTAACTAAGCTGGGTCCCTGCATTGGGACCTAATCTTGTAGTCCTGTCCTTGTTTGAAAATCAAATCTATTATTATTCTAGTTTGTATTGCACTCATGTTTTTTTTAAATAGATTACCACAGACATTTTCGCATATAGAAAGTCGACAGAAACAACGTATTAAACATGATAGAGATAGTGTAATTTAATTACCTAAAAAAGGTTATTATCATTGTTGGGGCAGTTACTCAAAGAACGCATTACACACTACTAGTTACTTTAGAAAAAAGTATCCCTTACTTTACTTATTAGTTACTCACTGCTGAAAGTATTTAGTAACATTACTTTTGGATTACTCTTTAATCACCTGAGATGCAACATAAATCAGATGAGAAATAATAAAATGAAGTTAAACCTCATGTATGCCGGATCAGCACAAATCCTTAATCTAATAAAGACAACACAATACCTCTGTTTTCTGCTCTTTGTTTGAACATCAGCCGTGTTTTCTTTAGCTCAGTTTCATCATCATAACACTGGTCCAGGTTGCTTGCAAAAGTGTTCCTGTCTGATGGCGGCTGCCCGTTACGTATTTCTTGCTCGATATGTTTCAGAAAGTTCACCGAGGAAACCATGGATGTAATAATGAAACAGGCAACATTTCCTCCACGATGTTTGCTGCGCCTGTTTATCTCTGCTATGTGAAAAGGGACGTTTGATATCATTTTGTGTTCTCCCATTATGCAGATAGTCGAAGACATTAAATGTAACGCAAGTAACGAGATAATTTTGTGCGTAGTCACTGTAATGTAATTACTGCTGAACCAACAATAAAGCGTTACACTACTGCGTTACAGACAGATGTAATCTAATTACTGTAACGCGTTACTTTGTAGCGAGTTATTCCCAACATTGGTTATTATTAAGTATATAGTTCAAGATCTTGTGCAGATCATTTTGAATAATTAGGGATATGTGAGTCATACCCTAAACCAGTGGTTCTCAAAGTGGGGGGCGCAGAGGTATGCCAGGGGGGCGCGAGAGACCAAGAGGAAAAATGGTAATAAATAAATCATAATTTCAAAAATTATTGATTAGAAAATAATATGATGCAGTACAGTACTATTACGTCTGGGTCTCTGTGTTTCATTAAAGCTCGACTCTGTGTGTGTGTGCGGAACGAGCCATTTTGTGTGCGCGAGCGAAAGAGAGATACTGGAGATATATAATAATCACACATTAGTCATATTTGTTATGAATAGTCATTGATTAAATAGTAATGCAATGGTAGTCCCAAAAACAGTTCCTGTCGTCGGAAAAGCACAGACGGACGTCACACTTGCTGCGTTGCATGTTTGTGAAAAATCAGTATTGGGACTGATAAAATATTTTTGCAGCCAGCGATATCTGTCACAGGGCTTGGTGTGTTTATTTGGTTGGGGCTCGATGTCCACATAATTGGGTTGTTGGTTTTCTTTGTCCACTTGTCCACAGGCATCTTCATCTGCCTCTTATTCACTCATAGCAGTGTCACTGTCCTCTGATTCCTTCTCAAAATCACTTTCTCCTTTTTTGTATGGCATCACATCCTGCACACTGAATCCAGGACCTCTCTTTGCTGGTGGCATTCTGAAATGGAAACATTAAGGCGAGACACGGCAGGCAAAAACATCGTTTTTCAAGTACTGGTCAATTTTGAGATTTTGTGCTATTTTGATTCCATAACATGTTTTCTTTCAGGCTTTTGGAAGGAAAACGTACAAAATACACATTTAAGTGTTTATTTTACTATAGTTTGTCTATTTGCGTCTGTAGATTTCTCCTAAATTCACCAAAAGTTAGCATTCAAACGTAACATAAAGTACCGCGACCGCTGTGTGCACCATGTCAACAGAGGTATCGCTGGAAAGCTCCGTCTCTCCTGCACAATCTCATCGGATCCAAATATGGTCATTTCCTTTGTATCAGCAACCAATCGTGAAAGCACAAAGGGGTCTTAAACCAAGAAACGAAATCTCATTGGCTGGTGTCAATTTCTGACAACGTGATTCGTTCAGATGCGTCACGTGGTGTGCTAAAACACTTCCTGGTTAACTTTCAGCTAGAAATTGAAATCTCAAAATGCCAAAAGAACGGCGAAAAAAACGTTCACAGAGAAGACGACAACAATTGTCACTTGCACGAAGCAAGGTTATAAAAAAAAAAATGACCCTGAACATGAAATACCTTCACGGAGTGCGTCGATGCGCAAGCTGTCATCCAAAGAACAGGAGGGTTTAGCTAGCGCCTCACTGCAATCTTTAAAGGTCGTTTTCTCAAAATGAGTTTTTTCTCCTACTCTGAGTTCGAAATGTCAACTTCAGTAGCACGTACATACACCAAACCTTCCAGTTATATTCCTATCAATATTATGAAGGTTTTTACAGAAGGGTTTGTTCATATATAATTCATAGCCTGAATTATACAACATTGTATACCTAAAAACATGGCGACAATGGATATTTTAGGGCTGTTGACAGTATTTTCTGATTTATGGAGTGATAAAAAGAGTTATCCAATAACCCTTCTGTAAAAGCCTTAGATACTAATATGACTACAAAATGAAACAAGAATTTTGAATCTGGCTATATCCAAAGTTCAGATTTCGATTCCTGAAATGTGTTAAAATATGTGCATATTTAATGAGATAATGGTAATTTGCATATTTAAACATGCTATTTCAGAAAACTTGTAATACAAAAGACAATTGCCTTATTGTAAGTAATTAACTGGAGAAATTTCTAGCTGATACCTTTAAGTTAAAAAATGTACCCTATTCACCTGGGGTGTCTCGCCTTAATTAATAAATATGTATCAATAATACATATGGTTATTATATTGTATTAGATTACCTGAAGGAATAGATAGGGTGGTGGAACAAGTGTTCATTCTGTCTGGCTTAGCCTATTATCACACTAAAAGGAATGCATGCACCACCCCCTTCCAGGTGTCCCGATCATCTGAATCCTATTTACATTGTACACTTGAGTCACACAATACTACCTGGCTTAGCCTATTATCATAATAAAAGGAATACCTACACCCGCACATGCAGGTCAACCAGTTCAACAAGTCACACAATACTGTCTGGCTAATGATAATAGGTTAATTATCATACTAAAACATTTCAGAAATAACTGTTTCTGCCAGAACCAGAGAAGAGTTAAATGTATTTTTTGAAACTAATTAACTGATAAGATACAACTAGAGTTTAAAATATTGCTAGAGATATAATTTCACATACTGCTATCAGAAATAATGTATTAATGTATTCAATGCTGGTCTTAATTCAAGGACACATTTAGAACTTAGTTATAGTGAATTATCAAAGACATTATATTTATATTTGTTTTTTATTTCCATATGTGAACATATAAGAAGGGCAATGACAGGTGCACATGCACCTTTTGACTACCACACTGACCCAGGTATGTAATATTGCAACAAAGGCATAAGCTGCTCCAAATCAAATTTGATGAATGTATTCCACAAAAACTGAATATGTACATGTTCTAGACATTGTAATAATGACAACAAAAATATCTTAATTTAATCTGACAACTCCAGACCAATAAAACAAAGAGATGTTGCTCGTTTGAAGATTCGGAAGTTGTGTGAGTGTATGGCCAGAGGGCAGGACCTATAAACACATTTAATACCCAATAGCATTGTGAGGCTGAACAAAAGGACCTTTTGACTATGTAAATGTTTTCTTAAAAAAACATTTGCTCACTTTTTTTACTTAAAAGTACTGTTGTAAAATTACAACCGGGGGCTTTACAGGGTTAACTGTAAAGTCATCCCCCAATTACCTTATAACTTTTGTGTTCTACTTTGGCCCAAAATCAACCAATCTCAAATGGCCATGGCGCTCGGGCTGGTAAAGGTCACAACCAGATTCAGACCCTCACCGCTGAGAGTAAGAGCTTTGCTCTATTGAGTCACTCTGAGAGGCTTTCCGTAATCCCTCCGTTTCTCGCTTTATTTCTCTCAGGGAAAGGTCTGTCACCTCAGCCAGAGGTGACAGAGGAGGGATGAGAACGACGGGGAGGGAGAGGAAAATATCAGCCTGTGTGATATGAAATGTGGTCGGACTTTGAGCCCTTAAACGATTTAATCTCTCCCATCCAGCTGCGATAGAAAGTAAAAGTGTATCCGCAGCTCCTCCTTCCTCTCTCCGACGGTCTCCTTTTTGTTCTTCTTTCTCTATTTCTTTGATACTTCCTCTTATCTTCATCTCTCTCTGTGTAATTCAGCGCCTCTGGAGTTTTAGAGTTTGTTTGCGTATAGAGAAATGCTAAAACAAAGAATCAAGGGGGAACAACACATTGCGGAGGGAAGATAAAAGAATAGATCACCCTAAGGAGATGATAAAAATAACTCACCTCACTCCCTCCTCCTCTCCCTCTTTTCCACTCTCCTTATTACTATCACTCACATTGTAAGAACTGTGATTCATCAAAAAGCACTTTATTTAAATCCTGAAACACTTGAATTTATGGAGGACCAATGATATATAACCTGACAGGCCTTATTTAATCACAGTGTGTCTTGAGATACAGTGGATTCAAGACAACATTTTGGAATAAAAAACAGGAATATTTTTTCGAATTCTCATCTCCTCCTCGATTGAATCTATTTCAGAGGAAAAGAAAGTGAGATGTCACCTGAACATGCCTTTTTCTTTTTGCTGTTTTCATTCCTCTGTCTATTTCTCCATTCTTCTTCCCCTCTTTTTGCATATCATCAACACTGTCTGATTTCCATCCTTCAGTCTTTCTTTATTCCCAACACACTCGTTCTATTCTCCTTCCTTCTCTTCCCTCCTTCCCTCTCTCCTTCAGCTGTGTTTTAATGAGCGGTGAGATGTGGAGCAGAGATCACAGTGAGACAGGACGACACAGCCTGTCATCCAATTCCCATCACTCATCCATTATTCACACATGATTTATATCTCTGAGATGAGGACTTTTATTTTGAAGCGATATTCAATTTTCATGTCCCCAAGCAGCATATGGCTGCATTTATTTTTACAAAAGACATCTGTTTCTCCAGCTCTGTAGGACATGTTCTGCACACTGAGTTGAAGAGTTCATATTTTGTAACCAACCATGACCAACCAATTAACAGATCAACATCATTGCTTTAGAAAGCAATAAAGGAAGAGACACGACGAAGATAACCTCCTGGAGCTTTTAGTTTAACAGTCCACAACAACAAAACTAAACTATGGAAGGAAATGTGAGGAACACTAAGTATCATGAAATAGAATATTATTTTTCACACCATGGCAGTTTCCCCTCCACACTTTTTGATGTTTGTTGTGAACATAATGCATGCTGGGACACTGCACTGATGCGTCCAACCAAGCGGCAACCTCTGGGGTCTGAAAAATAAAGCCAGTGTGAAGTGGCTCAAATCGGCATTCTTACTGCCAGCAGAGGTCAACTCCAATTTCCGATTGTCCTATTGTATGGAAGTCTATGAGAAAACTGCCCTTTTGCTTACTTGAACTGTTACTGCAGTTATTATTTGTAGGACAAAGTGATGTTCTAAATTGCTAGTTTAAAGTATGCATTAATACAGAATGATGTTCATTTTGTAAATGATGGTTTATAATAAAAATTAGATGATAAAGCAGCAAAGGCTTTACTTTTTTATTGATATGTTGCCGTTTTTTTCCCGTATTTTTGACTTACAACTTTAACCCCTTCCAATATGTGTTTTCAGCTAATTAAGTTACATTTTGGGTTTGAACTCCCCTTTCTCTTCTCTCATTGCCATTCCTCTTTTCCATTTAAAGTTAACAACCTTTTGTAATACTATGAAGGTCTGAACATGCCCACCTTTATCCCTGTATTTGAATGACAATGACGGCCTATATGATTGTCAGCCTTCCAGTGTTACCGTTCGGAAAAACAGGAAAGCATTGTCTGACGATCGAGTTCTGATCAATAATAATAACACAAACTTAGTCGTCAATAACTCTGATGATATCATTACTGTATAATGAAAGGTTGTAATACTGTAGAGTAAACATTATAATAGTCCTATCTGACTCCTGCTCACTTCTCAGGCAGCAAATGCCTACTAACCTGCATAGCTAACAAAAAAGATGGTATCCTATGTGACCACAACAAAATAAAATTGATGTTTCAGGGCACATGAACAGGGGTAGAAAATGCTTTTGACAAATTAAACTGCAGGCACGGATTAACCTTTGTTTTATGTAAAAATGTATTTCATTACAGTTGCTTGCTGCCTTTGTTTAACCCAGATCAGATGCGGTGTGCAAAGCCAAATACCTTCACAATTATAATGGCATTGTCCCTTTTATCTTGTTTGCCACCTTTGCTACAAACCTTTTCTTCCCCTGAGACGAGCTTTTGAGGGGATTCAACTCTGTTGTTCTTTTGGTCTGCAAAAATACCATCAATGTCCCCTTGAGCAAAGCCCCCGACCTCAATCTGCTCGAGCAAAGCTGCTCAGATCAGTTTGAGCGTGCAGAGAGCAGCTCCCACCACTGAGAGTGTTTATGTGTTTAACACCTCTCTGCTGTAAAGGACAATATGCTGCTTCTGGTCTCATTGAAGGGGGATTTTAATAATGAATGCTCACTAAATGGTTTGAACATCTGAACAGTCATAAACTGTATGTGTATACTGTACCTTTTTTAATTTGCTCTTAGACAGGATACTTTAATTTCATGTTTTCCTCAGGTGAGTTTGGGGAGGTGTACAAAGGTCGCCTGAAGCCGGTCGGGAAGAAAGAGATTCCTGTGGCCATAAAGACCCTGAAGGTCGGCTTCTCTGAGAGGCAGAGGAGGGACTTCCTGTCCGAGGCATCCATCATGGGCCAGTTTGACCAACCGAACATCATCAGACTGGAGGGCGTGGTCACCAAGAACAGGCCCACGATGATCATCACAGAGTTCATGGAAAACGGAGCTCTTGATTCATTTCTCAGGGTAAAAAACACACATCTGTACACACAGATACAAACAGATATAACCATTTTAACAGTGTACTGCTGCATGTTATGTTATATTGAAACAAATATATTTTCTTAATTTCTTTTTTTATGTTGTGCAGAGGAAGGGCAGAAATAATTACTCTGCTTGAACCACAAATCACAAACATCGGGAATGCAAGGAGGCAAATCTAATCAGAAATTATAAATAAAAATACATGATATATACATTTATTTTTGAAATAGATAAGACATGTTTAAAACAATAGCTTATGTTATAACATTGATAAAAAGCTTCTTTTAAATATATGTTAAGAGAAGCTTTTGAAAGTCCATCCAATAAAAGAATGAATATTGTACTAAGCTTGATCTAAACGTCTATAAAACAGTTGAGTTTGACATTTAATTCTTGATCTCGGAAACAGCTAGCAGACTTATATTTGAGTATTTGTGAGCTTCACACAGTCCTCATCAGCAAATTGAGCTTGCTGTGCTGCCTTGGATTTGTAAAAGAGTACTTGTAGGATTTATTTATCAAACATTTTACCACCTTATTTTGGACCTTTACATTTTGTCAAATTTTCCTCATCAGCATTTTTAGTCTTATGGTACGAATGAAAGCACCGTAATGAGCTTGGGAGTTATGAGACAGCACTTTTACATTCTTTCCAACACAAGGTTGTATACAGTAGGTGTCATTTTTCAAACAAATTAAAGGTGTTGAAGAACATATGTATGAATAATGAAGAGACCATTAACATCATGTTTGTGAAATAGTTAAGAAGCACTTAAATACTGTACGTGTTCATATAATGTTCTTGCCGAATCTATGAGCACATTTATCTTTGGTCAAAAATCACATAAAGTACAATCCAAACGGAAACAAAGTTGAGAAGGAATGGGTTTTTTCAAGAAAAGACAGTAAATCCTCTTCTCCTCCTCTCTCCCTTCCTGGGCTCCTTCCTCCTCTTCCTGCACGTCTGTCTGTCAGTGTGTCCGTCCCTTTGATCCTTCCCTCCTTTCCTTTCTTCATGTTTGGTCCCCTTTTGACTCAGAAATCATCCGCGGACTCATTCACGCACACACATTGATCGATCACAATGGTGTTGCTGTCCTTGCGTGACCATCTTGCAGCCTCAAGACCCAGAGGGGTGTGTGTGTGTGTGTGTGTGTGTGTGTGTGTGTGTGTGTGTGTGTGTGTGTGTGTGTGTGTGTGTGTGTGTGTGTGTGTGTGTGTGTGTGTGTGTGTGTGTGTGTGTGTGTGTGTGTGTGTGTGTGTGTGTGTGTGTGTGTGTGTGTGTGTGTGTGTGTGTGTGTGTGTGTGTGTGTGTGTGTGTGTGTGTGTGTGTGTGTGTGTGTGTGTGTGTGTGTGTGTGTGTGTGTGTGTGTGTGTGTGTGTGTGTGTGTGTGTGTGTGTGTGTGTGTGTGTGTGTGTGTGTGTGTCTAGAAGAAGGTTTTCTCTGCAGAGGATTAGGCTAGAGGAGCATCAAAAGCTCAGTTTGATGCACAAAGTGAATTAAAAGACACACACACACCACTTCTACTGCAACTATGTCAGCAGGGATGTCAGTGATGTTTATAAGAGAGTAAAATAGCTAAAAAGGTTCTGGGTTTCGTCAACATGTCTCGTAACAACAACAAGCCTGCAGCTCCTGAAGATATGTGTGCTTTCTGTTGGTTTTTCCATCTTCTGCTGGATAATCTTTGGGTTGCTTTTTAAATAAATGTCTGATATAACCTCAAATTCTGTTATTGAATAAGACTTCAGATTAACCACTTTTAAATGTTTGTAACATGAAACTGTCATCTGGTTTGAAAGAGGTGCTTTAATTCCTTCAGAAATGGTTAAATCTCCTATCATGACTTATTATGTGTAATACTGAATTGAATTTGATGTTCTTCAAATAACTAATATGAACACATTCTGATAAAAGAAACAAAAAAACAATCCTGTCACTCTTTATGGTTTTACAGCAAAATGATGGGCAGTTCCCAGTGATCCAGCTGGTGGGTATGCTGAGAGGCATCACGTCTGGAATGAGGTACACACACACACACACACACACACACACACACACACACACACACACACACACACACACACACACACACACACACACACACATGTTATTGTTAAGATGAAGAAGAAACTATTTTCAATCATGTAAAATAAGGTTTTTAAGTTACAATACCAATTCTACCATATTGAGATTTCATGTGAATATAAAAGGCTGTCTGATCATGTGTTCTACTTAATCTGACATCAGCAGCTGGAAATATGTCTTTCTCTCACACACAAAAACACACACATGAACACACATACTTGTCAGGCTTTTCAGCTTGAAACACTGCTCTCTCTCTCACACACATACACACACACGCACTTTAGATCCTATCTGTGTTTTACTGCAGGTATCTGGCTGTGATAACACACAAACGTGTACATGTACACAGACATAAAATCCCTTTCCTATTTGATCAAAGGTGGCTGGCAGTGATAACAAACACGCACACACACTAAATCCCATTAGCTTTTTATAGTAGCCCAGGTAGCTGGCGACGGATAACACACACATCGGAACAATAAATCCTTTTGATGTTCCAGGTACCTGGCGGAAATGAGTTATGTTCACAGGGACCTGGCTGCTCGGAACATCCTGGTGAACAGTAACTTGGTGTGTAAGGTGTCTGACTTTGGATTATCACGATATCTGGAGGAGGACACCTCTGACCCGACCTACACCAGCTCACTGGTGAGGACCCACACACTCACACGGGGGAAATACATGTGCCCTTGTGAATCACTGATGCTAAAATTCCTTTCTTTAAAAATAAACAGCGGTGATTGTATAAATGCAGCAAGATTTAATACAAAAGTGACATCATTGAGTATTAAACCAAAAGAAACACAAACTTTGTCATAGTTACTATTATATTATGACATTTTAAATGAGCGAGACAGGTAATGTAGAAAGTAAGTCAGAAGCTAAAAGACAAGGATATTGTAGCAATAATTCATTAATACATTTTCCTTCATCTTAAATATACCATTTCATTTTACGCACAAGGTGACTGTTGATACAATAAATGAGAGTGAAGCCTAGTCAAAACCAACCTGTAGAAACCTTTCCTTTCTTTGACTCTAGATCAGCACAATGTCTTCACACTTTATAAAAAAATAGTGGGATAGTTGTATGTTAACCTTCTTACTACAGGCTCAAACACCTGCTTTGTCTTCATTTATAGTTTTCTTTCAGTACTGTTTGCTATCTCTTTGCGTTTCAAAACAGTATGCATTCACATACATGTCTCTGTATTTTTCTCGATGACCATAATGTTAATATTTAGTCCTCACCTGGAGGTTTATGACATGCTGCCTGTGGCCTCTATTTAGTACTGTGCCATGAGTGTGGAGCTTTACATTCCAAGACTTCGCATCACTTACCCTCGCTTTTTTCCTTTCTCTCACAGGGAGGTAAAATCCCAGTGCGCTGGACGGCCCCGGAGGCCATTGCATACAGGAAGTTTACGTCGGCCTCAGATGTCTGGAGTTACGGGATAGTCACCTGGGAGGTGATGGCATACGGAGAGAGGCCTTACTGGGACATGAGCAACCAAGATGTGAGTCACTGCGTGCGTGCGTGCGTGCGTGCGTTGGTGCGTTGGTGCGTGGGTGCGTGCGTTGGTGCGTGCGTGCGTGCGTGCGTGCGTGCGTGCGTGAGCAACACAAAGATAGTTTTTTGGGGGGTTTTCATGCTTCATTCATTGTGTTGGGGTTGGGTGTAGGTCGGCGCGCTCTCGGGTTGTGCTTGTTTGTTTCCTTTGCCGTCTCTCACAGCAGGGTGTCTGCATGTCTAGGAAAGCACAGGGAAAATGAGGACATCAATTTAAGTGTCACAGAAATGTTTGTTCCTGGAACATCCGTCCAAAAGGAATCGGGGTTTCTTTTTTTCTGTTGATCTTTTCTTCAGGGAATATCTCATTGCCTTGACATCTTTATCCCAATTACCTGCCAGTGGGATCCATTTTCTGCAGCATTTTTATTTTGTATTCCTCTTCTTCTTTGTTGGCATCACAATGGTGTAATTAAGTAATTTGGCATTACATGTATGCCTTAAGGCTAGCTATTTTAGTAATTATTTAAAAAAGAAGTGCACAGTCTCTGCTGCTATTGTGTTAAAACAACCAAAACAAAACAACCTCTATCCTTTCTTTTGGGTGTTACATTTTAATGTTTAAAGCTATAGGGGATCACGTACAGTACATTGAAAAGGAGGTTTCACTTTTTATTTTTAGGTTCCTATACCTAGCTGAAATGTGATAATCAGATTATAGTTAGTTTTGACTCAAAACCCACTTCAAAGCACTCCAAATCCCATTTTACAAACTAGATGTAATGGCTTTGACACAGAGGAACCTTGGAATAACGCAAGCCTCCAAAAAAGAAATGTTTGGCTGAAAAAAACCTTACCAAACCCTGCTGACTTGGAAAACGTGATTGGTAACTTCCTTTAAAGGTCACCTATTGTGCAAAATCCACTTTTTCATGTCTTATACTATATACATAAACATGTGTCCCCTCCCCTCTGTGTAAAGAATTTCTGATTTTTTTTTGGAAAAAATAGTTGCTCTCCTTTTGCCCTGAGCCATTTACATAAAAACCTGTCTGAAAATGAGCTGATCAGATTTTGGCCACTTGTTTTTCTAGGTTTTGCAACCATTAGCCAATAACCAACCAATGTAACCCCCCCCCCACACCTTATCACCTGAATCTCCTAAAGCACCATTGTGTTATTCTTAACCAAATATCTCTCAGAGGGGCGTGGGGAGTGGCTCCTTATTTTCATCTAAAGTAAGAATCAGCACTTTTGAAACAGGGCTGAAACAGAGGGGATTATGGGATGCTTCAATGATCTGTTTGGTATTTGGAGCCAAACACTTCAGAGACATGTTTTGTATATATCTGAGACCTATTATATATTAATGAAAAAGAGTATAATAGGGGACCTTTAATGAAATATTTGGAGCTGTTTTGTCCTATTTTCCCTCGTGGACTGCATTTGAAGACACCCAGTTCCACTCCAGCATTTGTAACCTGCTTTCAACCTCATTAAACTGTACTGTATCTGAAGTTTTCCTTTCTTGTTAGCTTTCCCATTAATGAAGGGGTAATCAGTGGTGAGATGCCCTTTAGGACTGAATACCAGACACACATTTTAACAAATAAAAATAAATCACACCCCCGTATGGGTCAGCAGAGAGCGGTTTCCATGTCTAGCTGTACAACATCAGCCATTTATTTCCAATATTTCACACCTTCCTCCCGTCTCTTACCTCCCCCCTGCCGTCTCTCTTCACCTCCCCCCTCGCGGCTTCCCCCCTCATTCCCCTATGGTTGCTCCTCAGCAAAAGAAGCCGTCTGTGCAGCGGTAATGGCAGAGAGTCAGTATAATGACAGAGACAGTTTTATAATGGCACAGACAGTGTATAATGATGGGGAAAGTGTGTGTTACCATTATACTGTAGCTAACGAGGGTTTGCTGGGGCATTAACTATGCATAAACCTCACACCCTGAACTCACACATAACACACACACACACACTGAACCACACTCATGTAGGCACACACACACACACACCCACACACACACACACACACACACACACACACACACACACACATACAGGCGCACACATAAGCGATTTCAAAGATCACGGAACGGTGAAATTGTCAGCAGAGCCACCACAGGTGCTGTGTTAGACATGAATTAATCATGAAAGAGACCTGTGATGTTTTACTACACTCGTTGCTATTTTGATTGACAGCATTGCTTGGAGAGAATTTATGCGGCACAAAGTCTGAGAAGTGTGTCGGGGTCAACTAGAGTTCAGGCAGCGAGCAGACAAATCCCCAGTGCTGAATTTACAGTGGCAGAAGCACAGCATCCCCCTAGTTTCCTGTTCGGGAGGCTTACTCGAACAATGACACGGGCTGGTAACTTTAAATTCATTGGAAGTGCTTAGAAAGACATTTTGAAGTATTATTTCAAGATATTCTATTGCACTTGGCTTTGTTTAAGGCAGATGTCATTGAAAACGCAGCAGCAGTACAGTCACAGACAGAGCATCAGCTTAGATATGGCCTCAAAAGCTCAAAATCACAGGCAGAACAAGTATAATTTAAATAAAGAAATTGGGTCAACAATAACAGCAAGGACACAAGAGCCACGTCCAAGAGGAAAAAAGTTAGCTGGAAAAAGTTTATAAATAGGCAGAGGTAATCAAGTAACAGAAAGAATGGCACATTTTGTCAGGAAGGCAGTATAGGACATGTCAGAGCACTGCTGCAGGACAGGTCAACTATGGAAGATAATGTGCAGGTAATGTGGTATCATGGGAAAATAATGACCTGCAGGAAATACAACTTTAGAAAATAACATTTTATTGACCTTAATAAGATAACTCCCTGTATTTTTACTTCTGGATTAACATAACAACATTTACTTATATTAAGATGTAAGCTGCCTTCTTGGGATACGATTGGCTTACCCTGATTTAGGGCAAAGAGGACAGCTTTTAGAAAAACTAGGGGAAGGTATCAGTTATCAAAGAGTGGTTAAATTGCATACAGCTGTTACCTCATTGGTTGCAGTTTAAAAGAGCAGCGACAACCAAGGTCAAAATTGAAAGAATGAAAACGTTCACAATATGAACTTAAGCTTGGCACAAAGACCTATCAAATGTACGGACCTCTTGCGCACGAAATAAGTACAAAAAGTATTTGTTTACAATAATTATACAAAACAACAATGGGGGTTTTGCAATGTGTGACTATTTCTTGACCAGTTGCAGTGATTTACTGGAGTCCACTGTTTGCACGGCAACCTCATTTATTTTTGTTAAACTAACCTGCTGCTGGGGGAAGCTTCATATTTACTGTGCTGAGAAGGTTGCATCTACATTCTTATCTAATGCTTGTTAAGAAGGCAAATTAATTTGTAACCGTTGGGTTACAAATTTATTTATGATTTAAGTAAATGGTTGCATTTACTTAAATCATACATGAATCATTTAGGATGTAATTTGGGTAGTACTTTTTCATATTCCTAATTATGGATACATTAGATGGTACTGTAGCTGACTATCAGGCTCCAGACGGTTGTCCATACCGCTGCTCTGATTCCTGATGCTATAGAGATGTTGTTCACCTTGTACACACTGGGAAAGATGATAGCAGATAGGTGATGTGTGAAAACAGCTGAAAGAAATATCTTGTTTGAATCCTTAAAGAACACAGAACATGTAATAAGCAATGAATTTATACAGCAGTGTGAGTTTTAAACATTATGACTATCATAATTAAGGTAGGCATAAATGAGTTGGCGGAAAAAAAAGATTCTCACATTACTGGCACGGGGCGAATAATTTGAGATAATGATCACAGCAATTTATCCTTTATTTCATATTTGTTACGAGTGTTAAGGCAGCTAGTTACTCAATCAGTCAAAGGAGTTTTGGAAATCTGTGATGTTCGGGATAATTACATTCTGCACTCATCTCTGCAATACACAATTCTTGCCTAAAAGTTTTCTCAGAAAAGCCTCGACAAATCCTTATCTTTCTCAGCCAAGCACTGGAATAATGAAATCAAAAGCTCCTCTGTGTAAAACTACTTGCCTCGACATCAGAGACTGCAGCAGGCGTCACTGCTGCTTAGCGATGAATATCTGGATATATTGTGCGACAGCACGCTGGGTCAAGATGAAGTTTTCACATTTAAATTGAATCCTCTTAAGTTTTCTTATTTTGTTGTGCTTTTAATTAAAGCTGAACAAGGCAAGATTCTTCTTTAGAAATACACCTTTCAAAATCACAAAGGAGCTGAAACAAGAGAAGACTCTCTCTTCTCTGCCAACAGAAGCTCACAAATCAAAACTCCAGATATAAGGTGTCCCCTAAACAGCAGCAAGAGACTGGGACTCAGCTTTGGATATTTTTGCCTCTTTCAATCCTTTGAAATCCTGAGCAATATATAGAACCATGATTTGTGCAATTTACTGACCTCTGATGACGAAAATACATCTCTTTCAAATAGTGTGTCCCCTCTATAATTGAAACACACAGAAAGAAAGTGCGTCCTGTGTCCCATTTATGTCAATAACATAATTTTATTTTTACTGAAATACATATCGGACCAACTTAACTGCATGGGAAGTGTACATTAAAATATGCAAATAAATGAGAGTTTAGATGCCCCAGCTAACAGTATCTCTTTCTATTATAGGAAACAACACATCGCCTTATTGTGGGTTAAAACAGTAGAATACCACCATAGGACCCAAGGGTATGGAAAAATGGCTGTTAGATTTCCAAAACTGCTGTTGATGCAGTCTAGGTTCCTTCTTATTCCCTCTCTGCCTCCTCATCAAAAGGTGTGGGTTATGGGGGTGTGGGTGGAGGCCAACACTCCTCTACACCTGAATCCAGTTTCAAACTGCAATAGTTCCCCACAGACTCTGCTCACTAAATCACTTTACAGCGTCAAATCCTTGAATGATTTGATAAAATCCATCTCAATATTATAAACACATTCCATCACCCCTGGAACACAAAAGAATATATAATGTAATATAATAAGAAGCCGTAAAATGTGTTTACTGCCCTCTCACTGTGTTTTTAATATTATAACATAAAGCACAGAGGGGCTGTGGAGAAACGCTGCATCAACACATTGACATATCATCACTTCATAAAGTTGATAAAGTTGATAAATGATAAATGTGTTAGCAGTTGCTAACATTGAAGTTGCACATCCATTTGATTGAAAGAAACATCAGCATTTATTTGGATCTGTGGAAACATCTTGTTGTATGCTTCGCTATGTTCACCAGCTATTTGCTACATTTGTCTGCTTGCCGATAAGCAGGTATTAACATTCTTTAAACCAGAGATTTTGTTTTTAGCTTAAAGGTCACCTATTATGCAAAATGCTCTTTTTTATGTCTTTTATACATAAATATGTGTCCCCGGTGTGTAAGGATACTCACAAAGTGTCTGAAAATACAACACTCTCTCTTTACCTCCTTAACTACATCTCTAAAATCGGGGGTACAACAGAGCTGATCCAGATTTGCTGCGGTCATGACGACATTACTAAAATATGGGCTGGCTTTAGGTTGAACTCCTGGCAACATTCCGCCCACAGCCCAACCGCTATCAGAAACGTCGCTGTATTGGAAACAATGCGCAACATGTTTGGAAGTAACATGGTCTGTGTTTACATTAGCAAGCATCGCTAACATTCAGAGCTAACGCTGTACTGGAGAGGATATGTGTAAAAAAGCCAGATATAAAAGGTACTCACCTTGTGGTAAACCCACAAGAGAGAAAGTGTTTGAGCTCCATACTGTTTCAGAAATAATCCTTGATGTGCTTTGGAACATAATATGGCGTTTAATCATGGCAGCGTTTAGCTGAGTTTCTGCCGTAGAGTAGACACTCTTCTCTTAATAGAGCTCACTGCTTGCATGGGGAAAGGGGCGTGGCCAGCAGCAGCTCGCTTACATTTAAAGCTACGGACCCAGAATCAGCATTTTTGTAACAGGACTGAAATACCAGAGGCATGGCTAATTGGGTGATCTGTTTGGTATTTTGAGCAAAGCACTTCAGAGACATGTTTTGTATAGATATGGCCCTATAATATATTGTTAAAATATAGCATAATAGGTGAGCTTTAAACAGCTTCCCTCTGCGTCTGAAAATGCTACTCATGATAAAACCCAGAAACAATGTGCATATCGACTTTTAATCCTCAGTGGGTTTGTCTCTTTGCCCCCTCCCCCCCTCATTGTGTTCCAGGTGATAAATGCCATCGAGCAGGACTTCAGGCTGCCAGCGCCCATGGACTGTCCCGTAGTGCTGCACCAGCTGATGTTGGACTGCTGGCAGAAAGACAGGAACTCGCGACCAAAGTTCCCCGATCTCGTCAGCATGTTGGACAAAATGATACGCAATCCTGCATCCCTCAAAACCGGCACTAATAACATCCCTCCTGCGTGAGAAGAGATTAATAATACTGTATTATTTACATACACAATTATACTCTTCCTTTTTTCTAATGGCTCCTTGCCTTTTTGTTTGTACCCACTGCCTTCAGACCTTCCCATCATCCCTTGTTAGACCGCGGGGCTCCAGACCTGAGCAGCGTGAGCTCCGTGGAGGATTGGCTGGCTGCGTTGAAGATGACCCAGTACAGAGACTCCTTCCTGGGCTCCGGCTTCACATCTTTGCCACTCGTCACAGATATCACAGCCGAGTAAGTCCACTTATTTTACTGCCTCTCTGATTTTGAGTGTCTGCCTTTCCAGCACGTCTCACGCTGTTCACCTGCCAAGTCTGTCTTGTTAGTCAGACAACTGGCAGGGCAGCTGGTTGGCTGGCTGCTGGTCCATGTGTACGCCTGTCTGTCTCTCTGAACAATCTCTCAGAATCATCTAATTTCCTCTTATTTTGAATGTGATATAAAATACCTAGTGCAACACCAGAAAGACCATACTGTATATCTTGATAAACTGTCATAAAATATGCCGTAACAATAAGCAGCCTCGTCAGGGCCACCCCTCCCTATAGGCCAATCACGCAGGCTGCATGGGGCCCCGCCTTGCGCAGGGGGCCCCGCCCAGAGGGCCTCAGCTGCTGTGCACAGTTCTCCACGCATCCCCCGCGAGAGTGAGAGGTGACAAGGGGAGCACGTCTGTAACCCGACACCGTTGTAATGAATCGACATCTGACCAATCACGGCTTTGATACGGCCACTAGTGCAGGTGAAAAGATGTCGGTGAAAAGACAGTTTCAGTCCGGCGCAAAAAACAAAACATGAAGAAACTAGAGCATCACTCGAAGGTGGGTTATTGTATGAGTCAAATGTACAACTTGCGAATGTTGTATAAGTCAAATTGCCAATTGCCATCTTAAAACATCAGCTGCAATTCATGACATGAAGACGGTCTCTGCAGCATATAGGCTAATGGAGATGCAGTTATTTCCAGCATTCTTTATTTATCATTCATTCAAGTATGTTATGCCTTTGATCTGCTAATGTACAGGAGGAAGAGTGATAAACTGTCTGTCTAGTTGGCTTACATAACAGTTAAAGTTTACAGCCTAAAAAACATGGAGCATTTTTTCCCCTTTTATTCATTTTTATGTCAATTTGCACATTTCATGGTGACGCTCAGCCTCTCCCCTTAACTCCTAACAGTCATCATCATGGTGACACTCAGCCTCTCCCCTTAACTCCTAATAGTCATCATCATGGTGACGCTCAGCCTGTCCCCTTAACTCCTAACAGTCATCATCATGTCAACCACAACACAGAGAAATACTGATAGAAATGTGTGTGTGTTGTTGATACATTGCTGACAGAGGGAACTAGAATACAGATTTAAGAAATATCAGTTTTTGAGCATGTCATAAGCATGTTTTGTCTTGACTATATTACAGCTATATTATAATAAAATAATATAGTATTTATATTATTGAATTGATTATTATTATTAGTAGAAGTAGTTTATTTGCATTCATTATATTTTAATCTTTTTGAGGCTAGTATTTGGCAGGAAATGCAGACGTAAATTCACCTGTAAACGCATACTGAACGACATACATGCACATTTACCATTTACCTCACTGTATAAAAAAGTAACTGTGTTGATAATAATAATAATAATAAACAGGAATTATATTTGCAAAGTAGCCTACTTTGTTTCCAAAACATTTTTTTTCACTCGGTTGGGGGGGGCTCATCTCACAATGTCGCTTGGGGCCCCAAGTTGGCATGGGGCGGCCCTGAGCCTCGTCCTCAAGGATGATGTTTAAGACATTGTTTTTTAAGCTATTGCAGATATTTCTCACACCTGGCAAACCTGGTGTTTTCCCCTCTTTTTTCCTGGAATGTGTTAAAAGTAAGAAAATGTAATCCGCTTTTCTCTTCCTGTACCATGTGCCATTTAAAGAAAAACGGGTAGTTTTACTATAATAAAGTATAATTTACTGTAGGTATGCATTTTGTTTGCTTTTTCAACTGTGTGTCCATTGTGGCTTTTCATGCCTAAACAAGCCTGCACAGGAGGCAAATTAGCATCCCTCCTGCTGTCTGAGAGCTGAGATGTGTCTCCCGCCCCAGCCTTTATCTGTGACCGAGGCTCCAGTCTCAGACCTGGAGTCTGTCCCTGTGCGCTGCACTGCGGGTCAAACACAGAGAATGGGTTTCCCCACAGGGATTAATTAAGTATGCTTTCACATAGTATCAGTGCATACAGTATTGGCTGTATGCCAGTGGACTGTATTTTAAACACTTTCAATGGATAAATCACAGATTTAAGCAACACAATGACATTTTCTTTTTTTCTTTTTTTTAACCTTCATATAACTGCAGGGAACTGAACTTTGTCAGACACATTCTGGCTAATTTTAGATCCTATGAAGAGTCATAAAGTGAATATTTCCTTTTTTATTGTTGATTTTTTTACATAGCATTGCATTGTCTCTAAACGTTTCCTCACCCGGTTTGTTTTGGAGATCAGTGGACAATGTATGTTGACCATTTGGCCCCTGGTGAAAACCTCCTGAACCAGGATCACGATGTAATCATATCCAAGAAAATCTGACTGCAATGACTAACTCCAATGATCAGAAATGCCACCAAAATATAGTTGGATTAAGGGCCCCCCAGTGTCAGAAAATTAAATGTAGTTCATTTAAAAAGCAGCCAAGTTGATATGATGATGATGATGGTGATGATGATGATGATGATAATGAGACGTCATCTGTTCCTCTGTCTGTGTTTCTGCAGAGATCTTCAGAGGATCGGAGTGGCTCTAGCTGGACACCAGAAGAAGATCCTGACCAGTGTTCAGTCGATGAGGCACAACATCGATGACCAGTCTCCTACGGAATCTGTGTAACCACAGAGGAGTGATACAGTACGAAATATTTGACGAGTGTACAGTCTGAGCGAGCAGGCTGTCATCTCTTCACACGTCTGTTTTACCCTCATTCACTTTTGTTCACCACTCCTGGATATAAACCACTCTACATGTTTTTAAATCACTGTGGCTGTTTTTGTGGCCTCATGACTACGAGTCGACGGACAGACCCATTTCACACCTTTTAGTAAACTGACAAAGACTAAATGCAAGAGGGAAAAACAAAGCAGAAAATAGTGTCTGGACTCACTGTAATGGGTACAATCCCAACTGACCATCCCTTTTCATCACAAATCTCTGTGGAGGATCAGTTTTTACCAGCTTGACTGGTTGATTCAAGGATCAATGATTAGAGGACTATGAATCTCACAAACATGCTACTGTGAAGAGAAAACTGACATTGATATACAGAAACACAAACTGGCCTAAAAGCCTGAGAAAGAGTCTTTTGAAACAGTGTTTCCGGAGAGCCCTCACAGACGGTCTTATCTCCATAACGTTTCGTTGAGACTGCTTCAGTGTGTTGGTGAAAATTGCTACAATTTGAATCCAGGCGAGAGACAAAAGTTAAATGGGACTTTTTGAATCTATCTTCATATTGAAGAGTCTGTACATATTATGATATGGGATTTGTATTTCCCATTTGCTCATTATTTCACTTTCTCTACAGCATCAAACAATTAATTGTGTTTCGGTGTTTTGTGAGCTCTCTATGATTATCTTCCTCTGCCTGACTCATCACTGGAACAAACTTTAAAGTTGACTGCAGACAAAAGAAAATGGAAAAAATAGGTTTCATGGTGCTGTGTTTGACTCCTTTTTATGCAGCAAAAGAAAGAAGATAAACCCTTTCACAGAGAGAGCTTGAAAAGCTTGGCCTACTTAAAATACTTAATTCAGAGGTTACTCATTATGGATGATGTTTTACAATCAGCGCACATGCCCTCTGAGTAAAGGCAATTATAGACCAGGAAACCAAAATCAGATAAAGAAATATGAAACCAGAGCAGTGTTATACGTCCGTTTCCTATCTGGGAAGCAACTTGAGAGTGTGGGAGAAGAGGAAAGCAGCTTAGGAGACTGTGGATATTGAGTCATTACCAGCTGCTGAGGAGCACCTGTTGAGAAGAAACAGCAGTGGCCAGATTATCCTGAAAGGCTGAAAAAGTATTCCCATCCAATGTTCTTGTGATTTGGCTGCAAACACTTAAGCCGACTGCCAGTCAGGCATTAATACAACACAAGAACAAACCAGAAATCCAATGCTCATGTACTGTTCACGCGTGAAACAAATCTAATTTCTGTCAAAGATGGTATGGCCGCCGTCCAGATGGTAATCGCTCGACAGCAGGCAGGCAGGGGCCTTTGTTTCAACTCCTTTTTTCATTCTCTGGCTGCTGAACACGTCCCATGTTGTTAGATTCTGTTGTGACAGCAACATTTCCTCCAGATTGACATCAGTGATTAATATTGTTGTGTCAGATTGCAGATGAAATGAAATGAAGTGACCTATTCACGTCTGTGGACGGCAACCTTTACGCAACACTCGTTCACACGCAACAATGATTGATTTTTTTCAGACATGTCAGAGAAGGGGAACTAACAGGAAAAGATAGTAAAATGCTGGAAGGGTCAAGAAGGGAATCAGAGGCTTGTTTGTCATGATTCTGTGCGGAAATGCGAGGTTTGATGCACCGGTCCTGACACACTGTAATATCAAGAATGCCTAATCTGTTTTATCTGAACGCTGAGCAGATTACCAGCTGTAACAGAAAGCCTTCAGCCCAAACCTCTAGTCATGGGTTTGCTCCCACATCCCGAGGATTACCAGTCTGCAGCACTGATTGGATGTTGTATTTTGAGTTGTCATCCCCTTAGAGCCGTGCACACAAAATAAGTGACAGTATTAAGTTGTTTCCATTCAACTCGTTTCACCGCTAACATGTCCTACAGCACTATGTTTGGAGCAGCCCTCACTCTGTTTATTTAGGAGCATTGTGACATTGAGAGGTCTATGACTATTTGAAACTTCCAAAAATGTGCCACTTTTTTTGGGCTACCCAAAATTGCATTTGTTGCCCGGCAACTAGAGCTTATTGAACATTTTATGAGGAAATATTGAGATCAACTGGGAGGGTGTCAGTGGTTCAGAGGCATAATGGTTGTAAATAAATGTCTGAGCAGAAACAGTGGCAGCGCTGGATCGGGGGTTTAACAGAGAGCAAGATGATAAGTGTGCCCAAATCCTCATATTGAACGCCATCTAAAAAATATGTCATGCAGAAGAAATGAAAGCAATCATCCCAGACAGGCTTATACAAGTATTATGTTGCATTTAGCTAAGTGTGATTAATCTATCCTTTGCTCTATGTTCCTCTATTTACCAAGGTTAGATGTGAGCTTTCAGAGGGTTACCTGACCCTGTGTCAGTGTTTGAGAATGATCTACAGTTGGCTTTGTATTTATACCATGACATGTCTTGGTTTGAGCACAGAGAGGATAACTCAGGAAACGGATGTGAGGTTTTCTTTTACATTGCTGCATAAAATGCGATAATTGATTGGTAAATCTTGCACTATATACTAAGATTAATACGAGATTAAGTGCTTTATAAGCGCTCCTGAGATAAATTGTTTTTTGATGTTATTTTTCTGAAGTGCTTATTAAAAGTGAAATCCACCCTAAATCCAACCCATAAAAGAAAGGAGCATATAACGTAATGCTTTAAAAGTGTTCTGTTTGTGAAAGTAAATAAGATGTTACACAAAAAACATTGAGATACGCTTTGAGGCAATGAATAATAGCAAGATTTCAGAGGCTTCCTGATAATATCATTGCAGAATGCCTCCGCACGTCTCCTAGTTCACGGCTAAATTACATTTTTAATCCTTTTTATTAAAAGTGGAGAGTTTGACATCAAGCTTTTCAAGTGCTTCTCTTTTTGTATGGAGAGTTTTTAGTTAGAAAGATCACCAAGCTTCTAATGAAACTCCATCCTTGACATTTTTGCAACTATTTGTTATTCATTACTATTTTACGCACATATATTGTGCTTTTTCACTGTAGACCATTATTAGATTTAAAAATAGTTCTCAGACATCAGCTGTGTGCCATCCTATGCTACATTACAAAGTAAATCACACTGTTTACACTTTACACTGGGAAAGTATGTCCAAAAATATGATTATTTAGTTAACTGAATTTGCATCTGTGCATGTATTCAGTGTTCAGCACCAAGGCATATCGTTTGTCTCTTTTAGGTATCACAAAAACTATATATCCTTCTAAGACTCAGGACATCTGTTAGATTTGATTTCCCAGTGTTCTTCATTACTTTTATCTAGTTTATCGCAGCATTCTTGGTACATTATCACCATCTGTGATTACAGTAGTGTGAAACCATTTCAAATCATGGATGCATGTTCCTACAGTATGCATGTGAGCTTGCAAAAAGATGAATGAAGAATAACCTTTAATTTGATAAATATTGTTACCCCAATTACAGTTTACCTTGTGTTAAACCAACAAATATCCACTCCTGAATAACTCATATTTATGAATGCGAGTGAAACAAGCGTTCTAACTCATCTCCAGAGTTGTTTTTAGACCGCCTTGAATCCTTTTTTGATGCAATAGCACATGGATTCTTGAGATAGGGTAGCTAACAAATCCACCCAAGATAAAGTATCCCTGTGTTTATTAGAATAAGGAATGGGACTTTTATGCACAAAGAGGCACCCAAAACAGCTCCTCTTGCTTCACATCCCCATACAGCACTGTTTTGAGCTACTGTCATGATTAAAGGTGGATATCCCCTATAAAAGAAAAGATAGAAATATGCCTCTATTTTGACATAACATAATCATAATCTTGTGGATTTAGTGTTACAGGAACCTTTGTGGAAACTTGCTGCTCTGAAAAAAGTTAGCATGTATCCGTGTCCACAGTCTCAAATTCAGGTTTGCTGTTCCACTCAATGGGGACGACAGTTGAATAGTGGTACAAATGGCAGCAGACAAAAGCCCTTGCTCTCTGTTACTGAGGGACTGACACCCAAACCTGACATTTACTGCAGATGTGTAAGATAGAGAAATCCATTCAGAATCCACTGCATCTGTGGTGGGCGTATAACAACATGATGTTACATTGTCTCTGGCCAATTAACCACGGAATGGGATAAAAGTAACAATATTCGACAAAATAGGCAGAGAAATGCGAGGTGTGTCACCACCTCTAAGTGCTTTAGGGTGGATTCATCTTTTAAAGGCATTTCTTTTTCTGGAGGCTTCTCTCCTCTCCTGTTGCTCTGGTGTAATAGATATGGTAGGTGAGGCTGGAGATGAGAGGGAAAGAGTGAAAGGGAATATGGAATAGATGGGGCCAGAGGAGAAATATTACAGAAGGAAAAGGAGGGGGTGAAGCAGAGCTCGACACTGGTGTTTGAATAAAAATGAGGCTGGGTGTGGAGAGATTACTCTTTCTTTTTTTGTCTCCCTCTCTCCCTGCTCTACCCAGCCGTCCTCTTTCTTCTGCTAAAGCCTCTCTGTACAACTCACTCTGCTTCCACTCTGTATCTCCACTGACTAACAGCTCACTTTTCTTCTTAGATGCATGTTTTCTCAAAAACATTTTGACTTGCATCTCCTGATGATGTACATTAAATCACACAAACCCTTCAGTGTGGTTTCAAGGAGAGCATTTATCCCAAAACTGTGAACGTCAAGGTCTTCTTTACCCACAAATGGCAGATGTATTGTGTTCTTCATGTGTTAGGTCATTCACAGTGTTTGATCAAATAACTAAAACAGTCTGGCTAAAGACACATGCAGAAAAAAGTGTTTTTCTACTTTTATTGAATTTTAATTTATTTAGTTTCCTATTGCTTGCCATTGTTTTCAGTATGTGTGTAATGTATTGGTTTCTCTTGAAAAAAGAACAGCTCAGTAATCAGCTGTAGTCTGCCTTTCTCTGTTTACCTGAAACTGTTATAGGTGTTACTGCTTTTATTATTGGAGCAGCCCACTGTAATGTACTATAATGCTGTAATATACCGTGAGTATGCGTGCATCTGTGTGTGTGCTCGCTGGTGTGAGTGTGTGTGTGTGTAATATAATGTGCGTGTGCTCCTCCGTGTACAGTACAATGTTTGTATATCGTGCGTGTGTGAGTTTGTAGCTGTTAACTTCCTGAGTCTTACATTTACAATGCACTGTTTGTCAATAAAGAAGACAAAGCAATCAAGCTGATCATCTTTGGTAATAAATGAACAAGCAGATGATCTGAAGATGGGCGAAAGAGATGAAGGAACTGACATAATCTGACTGGCAGCACCTCTAAAGCTCAGCAATTCCTATTTTTATAATAATACAAACATCAACACATTACAAGTCTTTATTGTGTACATATTATAAGAAAATAGTGTTATTAGTGAGCTTTAGAGATGCTGCAAAGTTATTGTGTGGACTTTAAATTACTCCAGTGTAACATGGACATAGAGTGAATGTTTTGGCAACGGAAGGTAAGCCTTGTTTGTTTTTTTAAACATCTTTTAATTTGGTGTAATAAAAAAATGGTAGATTTTGCAACTAACCTTTTTATTTTACACATACAACAGTGTGGTCCATTGGAGTCTACTCGGGACATGGCAGATAAGGTAGGATGTATTGTTAATTCATTCTAAAAATAATAATGAGGCTTCTCAAAATTCTCAATACTCAATGTTCACTACCGGAAGGCAACATTGAAACACCTGACACACTGTACGATAAATTCCTCAGAAGATTACGGAAGGCAATTGCATTCTGAAAAGTAATAACAGTAACTCCATAATGAGGTTCACTTTCATGCCGGCAGATTTGACTGATAATTTATGTATAAATGGGAAAGTCCGTCACATAATAGGACGACTTTAAATGACACATTACAGTTCCCCTAAGCGTTGAGGACCAATATGGACCCCAGGAAGACTAGGGGTGTTTCTCAATGTCGAGTACGCTTGCTTGATAGCACATGTCTTCCGAGTCACTTGCTTCAGAAGCGAGGCAAGAATACTTCCTGGCATTCGGAAAACGAAGAGTGGAACAGGCGAGCAAGTGTGCAGGTGTGCGTCATATGAGAGGCCCCGCCCTCAAATATCCCTACCGCTAATTAGCCATATAAAATGAACCTGCCCTGTTAAATGTCCTTTAAAGAACAACTGTTATGAGTCTCCTGATCTACCACTACTACTATGATTAAAGGATAAGACGTAAAGCATAATCGTTGTCTTAAAACTGTTCGAAATCCAAGCATGAGTCGTCCTCTTTACACATGTTCCTTTATTCCTATTGACATTACACTGACATTACCATGGCACTGAATAATGATACGTTTTTGTTCTTGGGCTTAACCATTTTTGCTCTTTTGTATCACAGTCTGGCATCTAAGTGCACTCAGACTAAATGTAGTTTTCTGTTTCTGGTATTTCTTCTCTCTTCTACACGCCTGCTGTGTATCTGCCTGGTTAGTCTATTTTTGCTCCCAGAGTTTTGCCCCTGCAGATCCTCACTAATCACCTCATTCCCCTCACCTACACTTCTCCACCCATTCCTACACCTGCCCGTAATCCCTTCATCAGATGAATCGTATTTAAATGTTTTTTACATCAGTCTTTGTTGCATCCCTGCATTGTTCTGTGATGTTTAGTTTCCTGCACAAAACCTTGATTCAAAGTCATTTCTGAAAGTTCCTGTTGATGCAGTCTCCTGCTCCTGGGTCCACCTGCTCCTGGGTCCACCTGCTCCTGGGTCCACCTGCTTCTGGGTCCACCTGCTCCTGGGTCCACCTGCTCCTGGGTCCACCTGCTCCTGGGTCCACCTGCTCCTGGGTCCACCTGCTTCTGGGTCCACCTGCTTCTGGGTCCACCTGCTCCTGGGTCCACCTGCTCCTGGGTCCACCTGCTTCTGGGTCCACCTGCTTCTGGGTCCACCTGCTCCTGGGTCCACCTGCTCCATCGCCTATTCATGAAATTTTTAATTACATCTTTTCAAACTAGGAACAATTGCCCTTAAGGTCTGGTTTGTTCTGGTTAACAACTCAATGTTTAGTGGAGGGACACATTATGGTGTTGGTTCAAGATCACCATTGTGGTTCAAACTAATGGATGTTTACTTTTGTAGAAGATAGGAAACATACAGCGATCTTAACATTGTTAGGATATAACATTATTTCTTGGAGCAACTTCCACATTTTCAACTGAGTCAACTGTTGTTCAAGTTGTAGAAACATACTTATAGGAGCTAATATGGATGCTACACTGGCATGTTAACAGTTATAATATGTCTAGTATTAGTATTTCTAGTATTCCCATCATCCTATTCTGCCATGTTTGATATTTGTCACACATTAAAGTTACTTTTATGTAAACTTTGCACCAAAATACGGAATAATAACAGTGTTACCCACTATGACTTCCACAGCAGGACAAAACGTCCATACTTTTGCATTGGAAATAATGGCCTTGCTCTGCATAATACCAGGCTTGACTGTTGCGTGAAATAAATTCAAGGCAGCTTGCCAAAAAAGATGAAAACATAAATGGTTCTAACATTCAAAAACAACTGCTGCTTTTTATTTTTTTGGACAGAGCAGAGCAACAAATCACAGAAAACACATTGAGGCCATGTAATACAAAACGTAGGGTTAGGGTTATAATTTAAATTTGGTTTTGATATGCAAGTTGCCAATCCTCAATTTGCTTTTTAAAATGTAATACTTCCCATATTTGTTATATTTTTTCATTACCTTTAGATTTAAAAACGAGCCAGATCTCATATCTTATGGATGATACCGTGCGTTCCGCCCAAACCTCTGCTTTAGGGGTTAATGGCTTTGAGCAGTATCAGACACCAGGCGTGTTAGTGGAGGCACAGCACCGGGCGTGGTGGCATGAATTCATCAAGATGTGCCTGACAGAAAGAGGTTAAGAGAGAGAACAGGAGATGCTTTATGAAATGTGTATTTAATGTGCGTGTATGTCTCTTGAAAAGTGAGTCATCTTCACACGACCTCACCAACACAAATCTGTCTTCCCTCTCCTCCCCCAACAACCCCTCGGATGAATAATTGACTCTCTCTTTTTACCGACACTGGTCTGCTGGTGTGAGGCGTTTTGCTCTCCGGACTCCATCCTGGAGATGAGACAGCGAGATTCTTTCTCTTCCCTCTCCCGCCCTGTTCCGTTCTCTTGTTTTCATTCGCCCCTATCTTTTCCTCACAGAACTCTCAGCAGGAAAACGATGAATAGTGAGCATTTTTATTTTATTTTTTTTAAAGAAGTGAATGGTTATCTATTATTGAGCAGCAGCAGCAGCAGCAGCAGCTATCTCCATCTACTCGGCTGCTGAAATAAATATGACAGAGCTCTGGAGAGATTTGCACAGATCTGAACTGAGCCCACTTGTGCTCTCCAGTTACATATTTACCAGAAAAGCCAAGTAAAACCCAGAAAGACAGATGCTCAAAGCAACTAGTACAGTTATTTTTTTGTTGGTAACGCAACATTACAAAAGATGAAAATATAGACATCTTTGAACTCTCTCACGTCAGCTTTTAGGTTGCTTTGCTGCCCTTTTTAAGATGCTGTTACATTATTTAGCATGAACCTCCAGGCATTTTAACGCCTCTTTTTCACATGTCCAGCTAACACCCTCAATGTTTTTTATTTAATGCCTTAATTCACCTGATTAGCCTCCAGCATGCATGCCTGCCCCTTACTAGTCAATTACCGTAGTATATACACTCTCCAGTGAACACTTACTCCTTGTCTGATTAACTGTATATTTCCCTCCTTGCTATAGCCTTCTAGCCTATTTCCTTGTGTTGCCTGCTTTGGTTAATTTGTACCACTTTCTCAGTTCCCTTTTTACATTTGTTTTTTCTATTCTGTAAAATCGCTGTTGACTACCATGAGAGTCTCAATTAAGATGGTTTTATCCTCTTAGTACATGCTGTCCCTTTACTCTGCTTCTAAGCTCTGTTGCTTTAGTTTACACCTTTTTAAAGGACTACATTAAAATATGATTTTGCAGCTTTGGCTTTTCATAAAAACACCTCTGACTGGTTCATGAGACAACCTTGTTCAGGCACAGCCCGCCCAGAGTAGCAAGTTGTTGGGGTGCTACTATTGCAGGTGAAAAGCCAGTCAGGATCACTCCCTTGTGGAGTTGCCATCTGTAAAGTACACACACAGGATCAGGAATAGATTCAGGCATTGTGGGACTTGGCAGTGGAAATGCTAGATCAAGAAATGTTACTTCTCTTGGCATCCAAGGCTGGAACTGATGTTTGAGTTTGAGCCTCAGCAGTACAGGAGTTAGAATTGCTCAATCAGTGTTGGCCAAGAGTCAAATCACTGAAGATAGATCCAAATATACAGACTGTTCTGCACTCTGGCTTAGAGTAATGGTATTGTATTTGTATTGGCTGACATCATTTCCACTGTTCATAGCATCATGGATTTGATAATTGACAACATTTAAATATTGCTTACTGTACATATTTTATATTCTACACTGAACAAAAATATAAACGCAACACTTTTGTTTTTGCTCCCATTTTTCATGAGATGAACTCAAAGATCTAAAACATTTTCTATAAACACAAAATAACCATTTCTCTCAAATATTGTTCACAAATCTGAAAAGATCTGTGATAGTGAGCACTTCTCCTTTGCCGAGATAATCCATTGCACAGATTATTGCACAGGTATGCCTTAGGCTGGCCACAATAAAAGGCCACTCTGAAACGTGCAGTTTTGCTTTATTGGGGGGGTCCGAAAACCAGTCAGTATCTGGTGTGAGGGGTAGGGGTAGGTGCTCACTATCACAGATTTTTTCAGATTTGTGAACAATATTTGAGAGAAATGGTTATTTTGTGTATATAGAAAATGTTTTAGATCTTTGAGTTCATCTCATGAAAAATGGGAGCAAAAACAAAAGTGTTGCATTTATATTTTTGTTCAGTGTATAATTTATTGCATTCCATTTCGATGTAAATTACTGCTTCATTTTATTGCTATCTTACTATATTTGTATTACAGTGTTCTTAATATAGTTCGCTATCTGTGTACCCTTTTAGATTTTTGTTTTTTATTTGTATGTATGCACCACGACACCTAGTCAAATTCCTCGTACGTGTGAACCTACCTGGCAATAAACCCGTTTCTGATTCTGATGATGTCTAAATAAAAGGAATAATGATGA